ACCAAAGCTGAAGGCTCACTTGAAAAGAAAAGCGGCACGGCGGTCCTTCCTCTGACAGAATGTGTCTATCACTTTGGGGGTGAAGTCCTGTAGTTGCTGGATCAACTGGCTTTCAATTGAAAGCATGGCCAATTCGTTAAGTCGCGGCTGTCCCATGGTGTTGCGAGTGAAAGTCTTTATCCTTTTGAGGGTGGAAAAGTTCCTCTCTGACTCGGATGTCGTCATCGGAGTTGTCACTATTATTTTGACCAAAATAACAGTCTCAGCAAACGTTTCCTCCAAGTTGTTCTCGTGAATGGATTTCAACAGAGACAGGGCAGTGTTTCCAGTGTGAAGCTCACTGTGGCGGTAGAGCGTGGTCAGCTCAGACTTCAACTTCTCCTTGTTTCCCAACGCAGGCCACAGTTTCACGGCGCAGTCAAGCTCAGGTGTAGGAAATGACAGGACATGCTGTGGGAAGAATGAGCTGTCAACAAGCTTTGCAGCGATCAAATGGTCACTCTGTGAGAACCTCTGTTCCACCTGTGAGATGACTGTCACAAGCCTCCTTCATCACCGGCGCTGTGCTGCTGACTCGTCGGCCTGGCTCGTCTGTTCCATCATGAGCAGTGGCGGCCAATGCATCAGTTTTCTGCCTCATTTTCTGAACATTTTCCTTGAAACGGCAGAGCGCGCTGTTGATCCCAGGTGCATCGATGCTTCGTTTTTGCAGAGTGTTGTATAGAACATCCACTTCTGGCATAAGCAACGAAAAAAACTCCAGGAGCTGCATAAATGCTCGGTCCCGCAGTTTCTTTGACAGGCCGTATGCCTCACTTATGGTGACCGCATCCCATCCTGGTTGTGCGTGTATATGCTTCATACACTGAAGTAGTGCATCTCGGGTCTCCCAAACCGCGTTCACAGTTCTGCTTTTAAAGTTCCATCTCACAGCCGGTGGCCGTGGGATGCGTCTCTGTGTTGCCTCTGCAAGAGCTGCAACACGTTTTGGAGCACCGGAGAAAAAAGTGGAAAAAGCAGTTAGATCTGCGAAAAACACCTTCAGGATGCTCATCCTTGCTGAACACAGTTGCTGCAGGGTCAGGTTCAGTTGGTGGGCGTAGCAGTGAACAAACTGAGCGTTTGGGTACGTCTCCTTCATCACCGTCTGTACCCCGCGCACGTTACCGCTCATGACGGCCGCCCCGTCATAGGTCTGAGCGATTAGCTTTTCTTTCAGCTTCAGGGGTTCCAGAACAGCCTTGATGCTGTTAGAGAGACCTACACCAGTTTTGTCCTTTACTTCCACAAACTCCAAAAAACGCTCTGTAACTGTGAGGTCAGGCATAATGTATCGCAGCACAATCACCATTTGCGATTTACAGGAGACATCGGTTGTCTCGTCGGCCTGAACGGCAACAAATGATGTGTTGTCCACTTGCTTGGCTATTTCCTCCCTGTACACATCATACATGCAGTCCAAGAGTTCATTCTGTATGGTGCTTGATGTCCCTTTGAAAACAAGCTGAGCTTCGTAGTGCCGTTGAAGCCTGGAATCGCCCTCACACATTGTCTCGAAAATTGACCTGAATATCCCTGGATTCAGAGAGTCCGCCGACTCGTTGTGGCCCCGCAGTGCTGTCTCACATTTGCCACACAGTTTAATACAGGTGATGATCCGACCAAGCACGTACCTGTTTTCTTCCACCTTCCTATTATGAGAATCAATGCCGCGTCTGTAGGCGCTGTCAATCTGAGCTGCAACATTCACCCTTCCAAGTAATCCCAATTTTACGGCATTTTCCAAATGACTGTTGCTGCTCTCATGCTTCATTGTCCTCTCCGAAAGATGCTTTAAGTCCTTGTAACCTGTCCTCGACCAAGTACCTTGATCTTCACCAAAAAGCAGGCAAGGAAAGCAAAAGAGGGAATTCTTCTGGATGCTCGCCGTTAGCCATTTCTTTTTAGCAAACCACTCAGCGTTAAACCCACGTTTAACTTTGCCCGCAGTCTGGACCATTTGGAAATCCGGTGGATGGTGGGCACCGAGGCGCTTTACCTCCAGTTTCTCTCCGAGACTAAGTGTCTCAAATGTGTGCTCCAGTAAATGGTCAACTTCATTCATTTTCTTTCAGTTTTTTACTTCTTTTAATCGCTGGTGATGTTAGCTATATGCTGCTCTCTCGTCTCCTCTTCAAACTACACGTGACGTTTCGCAGCACTGCACACGTGAGTACTTACAGCCAATCAATTCTGAATTATGTGAGATGACGTATGGTGGGGATGGGAGCACTATGCCCCTACGGTCATTATTTTTTTGCCACACACATTAAATAGAAAAATACTCTGAGCATGCGCAGTGTAGTTTTTACAATCACCGTTCACTTAGACTGTGAGAGGGAGGGGCAGGATCGGGTTGTGTCCCACATGGCTCTAAACAGCTCAAAACGGCACTCTAGACACTAATTAGAAGAACACAGACTAAAACAGAAATGTACAGACGAATCAGATTATTAAACATGACCTTAAAATATATTTTATATGTTTTTTTATTTATTTTTTTGTATTTTTTTGTAATCATTATTTGTAATACTTTCTTCTGACACTAGGTGGGACTGTGCCCCACCTGCCCCTAATGACCCGCCGCCACTGGCCAGTAGATGGTGGCAGCGGAACGTAATGATTAACGTTACCGACCCTTTTTATGTCATGTCAAGAGTTGGATATCAACGCCACTCAACGCAAACAAGTGTGACAAGCGAACATTCACTCATCTTTTCAAATATTCAGTTACAAAGCTAGTAGCAAGCTAAGTTAACATTACATAGCTGATGCTGAGCTAAACATGTTTGCTAACCGTCCATATGCGTTAATGTGACTGACCTCTCCGGGTGAGTTTTCAAGTGCCTGATGACATTTTACATTGTTGCACCAGCATCCTTGATTTTAATATTGCAGACTTTGCAGTGTGCGCTCCTTTTGTTGGTGCCGCCGGCGTTTTGTTCGAAGTTTGTATAGTTGAACCTAATTACAAGCGGTACAGCTGCAGGTGTGCCGCCGGTCGCCATGGTGTTACCATCATGTTAATGTTAATGTTAAAGGTGGGGTAGGTAAGTTTGAGAAACCGGCTCGAGATACACTTTTTGTTATATTCCATGGAATGCTCTTAACATCCCGATAGCCGGCCCGGCTAAAATAACTGGATGGCCTACCTGCCTGTCAGCCTTCCATCGGGGCACAAACTTATCTTGTGCCCTCATTGGTCATGTGTGCGTTCGTGTGTGTTGGAGGAGGGGCTCTGTGAGGAAGTGGCAGATTTTCTCCGGTTGTGTATTTTCAAATTCTAGCGATCTCGAGCCGATTTCTCAAACTTACCTACCCCACCTTTAATACGCCAAAAATAGAAAACACAATGATTGTTCACGAGTCCCAAAACACGAGTCCAAGTCGAGTCCGAAGTCTTTTGAGCAGGAGTCCAAGTCAAGTCTGAAGTCTCTGTGTGTGCGACTTAAGTGCGACTCGAGTCCGAGTCACAGACTCGAGTCCCCATCTCTGCGCCAACAATATTTAATAACAGATATACAGTACACTCACCAAGTTTGAGGTGAGAAGGGAACCATAGCTTCCTACGCCTCCTCAAAAGTACCTGATTAAAGGTCAAGTATTCACCCTTAGATGCACGAGTGACTGGACCCTACACTCTTCAATAGGTCAGTGGGTCAAAAAGGACCCGTATTAGAATAATATGTGTTTTTATGCCATTTTTGTCATTTTGGTTAAGAAAAATCACTTGCATAATATTTAGTATTATATTTTGGTTCACACTAGAAATATTTTATAATTAATTTTCACTATTTAGAATTTTTGAATTTTTTTTACATTTTGAAAAATAAACGAAATTCCATGAAAGTGTCATTTTTTACCCACTTATGGAAGCTTGGGGTAGAAATACAAAAACTACAATTTCTTAAAATATACATGTTTTTTGAGGAATAGCTGGAATATTAAATGATACAAAAATGTAATTACAAAGATACTCTAAGAAAACCACCTCACCGGGTCAAAAAAGACCCACTTATGCATCTAAGGCAAGGCAAGGCAAGGCAAGGCAAGGCAAGGCAAGTTTATTTATATAGCACTTTCCAACACAAGGCAATTCAAAGTGCTTTACAAAAAATGAAAGAGATTAAGAAAATGGCATTTAAAATCAGTCATTAAAAAGAAAAGCTAATAAAATAAACATTAAAAGAAAAAATACATGGATAAAAGTTACAGTGCAATTAAACATTAAAAGAAAAAGTACATGGATAAAAGTTACAGTGCAGTCTAAGATATGAATAGTTCAATTAAAAGCAGCGACAAAAAGAAAAGTCTTCAGCCTGGATTTAAAAGTAGTAAGAGTTGCAGCGGACCTGCAGGTTTCTGGGAGTTTGTTCCAGATATTTGGAGCATAATAACTGAACGCTGCTTTACCATGTTTAGTTCTGACTCTGGGGACAAGAGGGTTAAGAATAAAACCAAATGAATTTAGTCAAAGGCATAGTGCACTGGGTTCATCATATCCCTACCCCACACCTGTAAATCAGTTCAAATCTACAGCAAATGCACTCAGTGACTGGACCCTGACTTTAGTAAACACCAAAGGCCACAGAAACCTTTATTAAGATGACAATACAGTAAGAGTGAGATATCTATAGAGATATTATTATATTATAAGAACATTTAGATTTATGTACATCAAAAGATTAGTTATTAGTTCTTAACTAAGTATGGTTAACACCTTACTAAGGCAATGGAAAGTACATTATTGTCTTTTGACTGTATTATAAACATAAAGGGTATTGATTATCGCAAATAAACTATCAACTGTGATGTTGGTGGTAAAAAAAAACGAACTACTTGAATAAACTCTGTACATGAGAAAAACTTGTGGAAACATACAAGACAAGTCTAATGGGCAGGGATGGGTTAATGTTACATATTCAGCAGCCCCCTTTAAAAAAAAAAAAGGACTGTTGGGGGTTGGAAGGTTTTCCATTCAGCATACAAGCTATTGCATAAGGTTCAGTCATCCAGTGTTTCACTGCCTGTACACCTTAAATCAAGACCTCTTACATATAGGGTAAGTCAATCCAGAACCAATATATTCAAATTAGAGTTTTGGGAATTTTGTATTCTGCAGTGAACTGAGTATTTATATTTTGATGTTATCTTTCTATCCACAGCTGATATGCAAACCATTGTGCTGTTGGTGTTGTGGGTATTGGGGACATCACTGGCGTTGCCAGACCCAGACACCGCTGGGGACACAGTGGTTGAAGAGCCTATACCGTGTTCTAAGGGATGCACTTGTCTGCATGATGACTACAGCTTGGCGCTCAACATGTACTGCAGTGCTCGGAACTTCACACAAATCCCGTCTGACATTCCCCCCGCCACTCATTCCCTCTGGCTGGACGGCAACCTGTTCACATCCCTCGCAGCAGCGTCTTTTAAGGATCTTTCTAACCTGGACTTTTTGAATCTGCAGAGTGGAGAGCTGCAGACTCTTGACCCTCAGGCTTTCAAAGGACTTAGGTCGCTAGCGCACGTTCACCTCGAGCGGAATCACCTCCGTGCGATACCAGGTACGATCTTCCAGAATACGCTCAACCTTGCCTCAATTAGTCTGCATAACAACCAACTGTCTCGTATTGAAGAAAGACTGTTTGCTGGACTCTCACACATGTGGCTTCTCAACCTAGGGGGTAACTCATTAGCAGTTTTACCTGAGACAGCTTTCCAGGACCTGCAAGGTCTACGGGAGCTCATTCTCGCAGGGAACCGACTCGCCTACTTACAGCCACAGCTTTTCACAAATCTTGCCGAGCTTAAAGAATTGGATCTGACTGGAAATCACCTCAAAGTTATCAAGGCCAATGTATTTGTTAAACTCACTAAACTTCAAAAGCTCTACCTAGCCCAGAATCAGATTGTGACGGTGGCCCCCAGAGCCTTTGTAGGCATGAAGTCACTGAGATGGATGGATATCACAGACAACAGACTGACTTCGCTCCATGACGACACTTTCTTGGGCCTGCACAGTCTCCATGTACTGCGGCTTTCCAATAACTCAATCACTGGAATTCGGCCCAGGACTTTCCGGGATCTGCAGTACTTAGAAGAGCTACGCCTCAGCTACAACAAGATCCGAGCCCTGGGGGAAAGGATCTTTGAAGGGCTGGGTCATCTGGAGGTCCTAGAGCTAGAGCACAACCAAGTGCAGGAGGCACAAGTGGGTAGTTTCACAGGGCTCTCTCATGTGGCTGTCATCAACCTTTCTGGAAGCTGCTTCCAAAGTCTACCCGACCAAATGTTCAAAGGTCTGTCTAAGCTTCATAGTCTTCATCTGGACAGAGGTTGCCTAACAAGGGTCACAGGGCAAGCTTTCACTGGACTGTCTGGTTTACGGAGGCTTTTCTTGCAGCACAATAACATCTCTGTTGTGGAACACCAGAGCTTTGTGGACCTGGTGGGCCTATTGGGGCTGGACTTGAGTTTTAAACAAATTGGACACTTTTACATCCCGTACATTCTCCGGCCTAAGGAATTTGGAGTTCTTGCTGTTATCCAACAATGAATGTCGACAGTTTCTGCAAAATGGCACAAAGCAGATACTCCCAAAGCTGCGCTATCTGGACCTGAGAGCTAATAGCTTGACAAGTATAGTCCCTGATTTTCCAGAGAATATGGAAAAACTTCTGCTTTCCGGAAACCGGTGGAAATGTGACTGCAGTGCCCTCCCACTGAGAAATTACAGCTTACAGAGTCCGTTGGTTATACCTCGGCAAGTGGAGACCCACGCAGAGGGAGAAGAGCCTGACTCAACTATCACCATATACAACAACATAACATGCATTGGCCCACCACGTCTAGCTGGTCAGGACCTGCGGGATATTGACAGTGAACTCTTCCAAGGTTGCTAGACAAACATGCACAGATTGGATTTGAGAATTGTTTAATGTTCTGTAATATATATAACAATGCTCATAACATTTCTGATATCAAAATCTAATGTCAACGCTAATGCATGATTCAGGTTTTTGTTTACCATTGACAGATATATGGTAGCCTTCAGGGGTGTCAAACTCAAATACACAGTGGGCCAAAATAAAAAAATCGGTACTAGTCGAGGGCCGGACTGGTTCAATGTTTATTGCAAAACGTATTGAAATGAACTTATTGCACATATTAAACCTGGAACTAACAAAGCTGAAATGATTGCCTATTGTTTTTAAATATTAAACATTAAATAATCAGTTGCATTCATTTCTTATGGCTCTATCTGCAGCTTTTCCAGTCATTTTTTATGATTACATTTTTCCACAGGCCAACAGCTTCAAAAAAACTATTTCCCTCAAATAAAAAACCAAACATGTCCTGTTGTCCCAAGAAAAAAAGTGCAGAAGGAAACATCCATGTAAACTCAGTGTGCTGCTCTGTGATGCTAGTTCAAGCCAAATATTTGGCATCTCATCTTGGGGGCAAGTTCATCAATGTTTGGGCTCAAGCTCTGAGCTGAGGAGATTTTCAGGATTGAGTGAAGGTGTGGGTGCAATATACCGGCGGGCCAGATCTAATAGTAATTAAAGATTATCCTGCGGGCCGAAATTAAATCCACCAAGGGCCTGATTTGGCCCCCGGGCCTTGAGTTTGACACATGTGCTTTAGAGAAAATGGTTGAAAATATTTATCAGGTGCTATTCATTTTTTTCAATGAAAAGAAAATACAAATGTGCCTTCATTAATGGTGAATGTGTTATTCTATGTAAAATACTTGTACAATTTCACCTACAGAAAGGAAGATTGGAATTGCACTCAATGTTAAACAAAATAGGTGGATGTATTTTTCAAATATTTAAATATCACTTGAACCCACTTCTTCGTGTTTCTCATGAGTATTTTGAGACATTAACAATCGGGATAACAGGTCAAAACAAATGTAAGCCCGATTTGAAAACATAGGTACATTTACATAAAACTAAGAGCACCACAACTGCATTTTAAGTTTAACCCATTAAGATAAAAGTAATATCTGTAGGCTCCAGCTTTAAATATCAAGAACAGTGTATTACTTAATGTAGTAAATAAACATGTTTTGTCACTTTAAAAATAAATACACTATTGGAAAACTTGCCTGAAAGTGCAATACATATTTTTAAACTTGTGTATTCGTGTACATTTGTGTATTTGAAAATGCTTAATTTAAAGTTCATCAGGGGACGGATTAGCTAAACCACAGAACCCAACTACAACAACACTGATACACAGCACAATGTCAGTCATACAAAAGAAGTAAAATGGTAAAGTTTCACAGGGAAAAATATAGATATCACTATGACCTGAAAGCATGCATCTGAATATGAACAGAATATGTGTAGACTTACCTTCAGTCTAACATAAGGTGACCAGATTAAAACCGGGGACATTTTGAGTTTAGCGGTCAAAATATCATTAACATATCCAATTTTCTTCACTGTTAAAGAAAAAAGGGGGACGATTCTGGTTCAATTTAATTTTAACTGTTGGATACAAACAGAAGGACGATAGCTCATATATGAGACTTCCAAGGTCTTCTATTTTGAAACTGTACATCAGATTGTCCAGATTCTCTCGGAGTGATTAGATGGGGTGTCCTGCTATCACCCTGAAGTGAAATAAGTCTTTGATAATTTGACAGTTTTTTGTATTTATTCTTGTATAAAAACAGAAGGACGATAGCCCATATATGAGATTTCAAAAGTATTTTATTTTTGAAACTCTACATCAGATTTGTCTGATTTTCTCTGATTGACTTGATGGGGTCTGCTATGGGATTAGTTTTGTATCATAAAGATAAAGCAACACTTTCTCAGAATAAAGCAAAACTATGAGTTTAAAAGAAAACAAACTGAGTCAAGCAAAATAAAATAAATAACAAAAATAAAACTATAAGTTGCAAACAAATCATTTGTGTAATCAGGTAAACTATAAGTATTTTTTCTTTGTTTTAACATAGATTTTTGTTTGCAGTTCTTGTTTCTTCTTTCTCAATGATCAGACTTTTGCTCTCGCTGCAGCTCTCTCTTTTGCGCTCCCTCATTTTTTCTTTGAGATTTTGACACAAACCTCCCAGGTGGGCAGCAGCCCAGTCCTCCAGCGATTGTACAGTGCAGGCAGCTGCGGTGCGGTAGCTGAGCGTGGATAGAACACCCCAGAAGAACCAGCATTTCAATTATTATAATACTACAAGTGAAAATATATGTAAGTATTGATCATTTGTGTTGTTTGTGCTGTACTATACGGTCTGTTTCTTTATTGTGGTAAGTGAGAAGTAAAGCTGTGCTATGAAAGTTAGCTTTTGCTACCTTTAGATCCATAACAATGCAAGCTAAGTAGCCTAACAGTTAGCTATATAGCTAGCAGTGAGTGACCGTTCAGACACCGGCGCACACACTCAAACAGACTCGTGTGCCTGACTCTACCAACAGGCTTTCATGATTATGTTTAGATATGCAAGTATAAGCTATGATAGCTTATTTTATTAACACGCTAATTTGATATGAAAATCAATGGAGGCTGAGTTAACTTTGTAGGAAAACCTACCGTCCATGAGCTGTGTTTTATTTGTTAACTTCATATTTTTCCTTTCCTAAAACATTTATTTTCCTTTCATATTAACAGTGTGGATCATTGAGACAGCGTGGCGTCCAGAGTCTTATACCGTTTTCCCACTTCCTCTGAGGGGACAGCAAGGAGAGAGGGGGGGGGGGGGGGGGGGGGGGGGGGGGGGGGGGGGGGGGGGGGGCATGAAGAAAGACCTGCACCAGCTTCATCCACGCTGGCGTTACTGTTATCACTGGCTCAGTGTCATTTCATTTGACCAAATGTCTTTACATATACATTTAATAGATTTATTATTATCCACCTTTGTGTTTTATGTCCTTTTATTTAAAACATTATTTGAGACTTCTTCTTCTGGTTCAAATTTCAATAAATGTAATTTGTATAATCACTCTTTTGTCTTTATTCTACATGAAAATGTTAGATTCCATTCAAATCTGTTGATTATTCATATATTCCTCAGGCTAGGAATAGTATGTCGAGTTTTTAATGCTAAATGTAGGCTATATAATTTTCTCACATGATATAGAATGAAACAACACAGTTTGTATCCATTGTGTATGAATGCTTCAGCTCTTCAGACCAACATAGTAAGATGTGAGCATGTTCCTAATTGTGTTGGTATGCAGCCTAGGTCAGGTCTGTTTCATAAAGCAAATCTGCCACTTTTATATTGTAGAATTTGTTAAATTAAAGCAGTCTTTAATTGTTTGTCCTAAACATAGCAATATATGTCTTTGAAAAATAACAGTATACAGTTTTTCCTGAGGAAACTAAGACAGGCCAGGCTTCCACAAAAACTGCTGGTAAACTTCTATCGGTTGACCATTGAAAGCACCCTGTCCAGCTGCATAACTGTGTGGTACACCAGCTGCACAGCCGCAGAGCGGAAGGACCTGCAACGGGTGGTGAAGGCTGCTCAGCGCATCGTTGGGACTGAGCTGCCTAACCTTGATAACATCTACAAAAGTCGACTGCAGAAGAAAGCCAGCAGTATGATCATCAGAGACATCACACACCCCGGCCACTCACTGTTCGAACCGCTGCCATCCGGCAGACGGTTCAGGTCAATAAAAGCACGCACCAACAGACTGAAGAACAGCTTCTTTCCCAGAGCTGTGGCCTCCATCACTCCCATCCCTGTCCAACCACTAAACGCACTATAACATGCACACATACAAACACACTACTTCCCATCAAAGACTGCAGCCTAAAATACCATGTTATTTATTTGTATATTTATTAAGTATCAACTGATATTTTTTTAGTAACTATTTATATTTAAACATTGTAGCTTTATATATTTTAACATTCTGGTAAAGTGCATATGATGACCCTGATTATTATTGCTACTATCTCTGCTTTGTCACTGTTTTTATGGATGTGTTCTTATTCATGTTATGTATTGCATTGAGAGATGCCAACTGAATTTCGTTGCACTGATGTGTGATGACAATCAAGATATATTCTATTCTATATTGTGTATCACCTTTAGCTTGAAAATACATAGATGTGTTTTTTTAATCTATAAAATTAATAGACAGACACTTTATCAATCCCAAATTGGGAAATTATTTAACAGCAGCAGTGTGTGCAGGTATTACAATATTTAAAGTTGGAATAAAGTATAAACTACACATCACAAGTATAATGCACTGCAATCCATAAAATAAGTCCGATATGTTGATGAAAACTCCTCATAAAAGAGAAAGCTGCAGCGAGAGCAAAAGTCTGATCATTGAGAAAGAAGAAATAAGAAATGCAAACAAAAACCTATGTTAAAACAAAGAAAAAATACTTATAGTTTACATGATTACACAAATGATTTGTTTGCAACTTATAGTTTTATTTTTGAAATGTATTTTATTTTGCTTGACTTAGTTTTTTTTTTCTTATAAACTCATAGTTTTGCTTTATTCTGAGAAAATGTTGCTTTATCTTTATGATACAAAACTAATCCCATAGTCTCCTGCTATCACCCTGAAGTGAAATAAGTATTTTATTGACTTCGAATGACTCTTTGATTATGGACAGTTCCATTAAATAATAATCAAAATATAGATGGACAATAGATCTAATTTGAGATTTTAAACAGCATACATTTTAAATTGTGCTTCAGAAAGTAATGTTATTTTAGGAGTGTTGTGAGATGGTGTCAACATCAATTGAAATTAGTCACCCAGTGGAAATGTCCGATATGTCTTCATAACTGTATCCTTACATTTTACATTCACTCAGTTATAATGTGGTAGTTATACGTAGTTTGTTTTAAATTGTTATTGATCACATTATATAGTACATATTTCTTAATTTAAGCTCCAACATGAATATATTTGGTGTGTTTTTTAGGTATATTTGTTATTGACCGAGTAAACGCTTTTATTTTGAAGGCAGTTTTTACAGGCCTCTTCCGTAATGCATAGGATATTCGTGCACCGCAATACAATGTCTGGGCTGGCTTGACTGTGTTTTCCGAAGTGGGGGCTGGCTTGACCATAGTCTGTAGTGATGGGAATTCCGGCTCTTCTTGGTGAGCCGGATCATTTGGCTCGGCTCACCAAGAAGAGCCGGCTCTTTCGGCTCCCAAACGGCTCTTCAGTTTACCACATATTATACCTTTTAATTAAATCAAATGTAGCCCTGTTTTGACTAATTAATGATGTATATGTGTACACATATATCACTTAAATTATTCAATACATCCTTTGTACTGAAGTATTCAAAAGTGAAAATTACATGTTTAATTTAAATGATTTGCTGTGGCCAAATGTTTTCATTGCATTTACAGACCCTTGTAACTCTCTGATACCACCCAATGAATGCACTGACTTGCTTGTAAAACCACGCTACACAAAACAGATAGCAACACCTATAAAAACTAGGCTATTTTAAAAAAGGGGCTACTGTATCGACATTTTAAAATTATATTGAAAGAAAAGGCTCTGACAAAACAGCAGGGCTCTATTTCAGTAACTATTAGCTATAAAAACCACGCCCCCCTGCAGGAGAGGGGAGCGTGCTCTGAGATCAGCTGATGGGCTCTCAGAAGAGGGGGAGAAAAAGAGATCTCCCTCCTCCGTGTTTTATTCTTATAGAAGTAAGAAGAGAAGTAACGGGGCAGAAACCCTCCTTTTTACGCAGCGGTCCAGACATAGACATCAAACGGCGACACATATTCAGTTGCCAGTTACTTTGGCATTAGGGCAGGGATATCTAGATACTTTCCAAGGTTTGACATAATGAATTGTGCTACTTTTAAAGCAAGCAACGATGTTTTCAAATCTGTAATCAAAAAGCTCCTCAAAAACACTATTGAAGCAGTTCCTGCCGTTGCTACGTTAGTTCAAACAGTAACAACGGACTATTTTTCTTAGCGGATGCATGTCAATTTAAATAAATACAACTATTTTTTAAATCAATAAAATCATTTTCTAAATCCATAAAAGCATTTCAATTAATATTGGGAGTCATGTCGTTACTTTATTGAGAATGTGGCCATGTAATAAGCGGTATAATGTGCACATTGCATAATGTGCCTTCATGCCGATTTAGATCCCTCCGCAAAAAAAAATCCGGCTCGTTCGCGGGCGAGAGCCGGCTCCCGTCGTTCACTTAAAAGAGCCGGCTCTTTGAGCCGGCTCGTTCGCGACCGACACATCACTAATAGTCTGTTTACCCAGTGTTTCTTGACATGAAACGTTTTATTTCTTCTTCCTATGTGTTTTTAACGTATATTAAAAAACGGGGACGTCTGGTCACCCTAGTGACCTAGTCTAACAACTGGCTAGTCCTGGTCGATGCAGCACCTGCATTAGATAGCACAGTAGTTAGCTAGCTAGCTAGCTAATTAGCTAGCTTGCCAGGTGCACGATTTTTTTTTTTTAATTTCACAACAATTGCATTTTACAAGCCAGAATGCTAGCATGTGTGTACACTGCATTTACTGATATAGAATACAACGTTGCACTACATAAGCGCAGAATACTGTGCACAACATTCACCCAACATTTCTATCTATCTATCTAAGTTGGTTAATTACGACATTTCTGACAGCACGTGAAGGCAACATTGTTGTCAGATCACACGTGCACAGGGAAGTTTTCCGTTGCCGTGGTGACCAAAGACCCTGAAACAATCAATGCGGAACATAAACGGAACCTTCACGGTTAAACTGAAGTTGTTATATCTATTTACTGCTTGTTATGGACTTAAATAATTCGTCCTGTTGGGATTCGATTCGGGAGAAGGTGAAACAACATATACCAACCATCGACTTCGATTCTTCGCCAGTATGTATTTGTATTTCCCTCCTGAATTGTGTATGCTTGCTAACTGACAAAAGCTACATACAATGGCAAATAACATCCACATGATAACCTGGTACTTCTTAACATTACAGTCCGAAAATGAAGAAGTCGTCACTGTATTTCAGAGACCAGCTGGTCTTTCCCTGGAAGTCCCGAAAGGCTTTGACCTATTTTCAATGGGTGATGATGAATCAGAGGTGAGTTGGTTATCATTTGATTTCAACTGTGTTAATGGTACTCAGGACCCCGAAACAAACTTGACTAGCAATCACTGGCATGTGTGTGTGTTTCCTCAATCAGAAGCTGATGAAACCATCATGCTGGTCAGAAAACAGAGTGAAGTTGGATGATGATGATGATGATGATGATGATGATGATGATGATGATGATGATGATGATGATGATGATGATGATGATGATGATGATGATGATGATGATGATGATGCAGCACAAGGAGCTGCTGCCCCTCAGTGGGGAACACAACACTCTGATGTTGATGTCCAGGTGGGTTTTATTGAACTAAAGCCATTATTTACACAAGTGTATCATAATATGTAACTGTACTTATACCACCACATCTTAGAGAGAAATATTCTACTTTCTACTCAAGGAGGAAGTGTTCCCTTTTGTGTTGAGAAAGTTGTCTTGTTTTTTTAGGCTAAATGAACTATTTAAAACCCCTCAAATTTCAATAAAAAATGACCTTCCATCAGCTGGGAAACACATTCTAAAGCCGAAAACAGGATGTGTTTGAGAGCATATAAAAAAAATACTTTTAAAGATACTTGGAAAACAACAAAGCTAAAAAACCTATGAGGATCTAATCGACATAATACCTAGAAATATCAAGGGTATGATGTGCTGCATAATGACTACTTTTACTTTCAATACTTAAGGTATATTTTACTGATAATATTAACATTCCTCTACTCTTAGAGGTTCTGAATGCAGCACATTTACTTGTAGTGCACTATTTCTACAGTGTGGTTGTAAGGTAAAGAATCTGAATACCTCTTCCAACAAAGCTGAGTATGCACTAATTTTCAAATGTTCTGTTTTAATATTGAAGGGAGACGCTTGTAAGAGAGATGTTCTACAGGTGAACGGAGCCAAGCTGAATGATTCCGTAAAACCAAAAGTGGACAAAACTAAATCTAATGAGGGTTTTCCTGTTCTCTCATTTGCGGTGAGTTTGGGCAAGTACAAAAGGTTAGGAAGTAAGGAGTTGTCATTCTCATTATTAAAACAAATCCTGGTTTTGTTACACAACAAAATGCAGAGGCTTGATCAGTGGGACTTGGATGAAGTCCTCCAAAATCTAAAAAAGGATGGTTTGCCTCTGCGACAACGTGTGTCAGCTGAACCTTCACAAGCACTTGCAGGTTAGTCATTTGTATCGCCCTGTAGCTATAGGATGATTATGGGGATATATATGATGGATTTACTATCACATATAATAGATTCAACACCTTTTTTGTACATAGATGGTGAAAAGAACAAGTCCCAGCAGAATATAATGGAGAGACTAGTTGCTTTCTGTGGCAGCCAATCAACTGAGTCCATGTCTGGGCCTTTAAAAGGCCTAAACCACATTAGGTAAGTCATATTGAGGTTTTGTGATCAGAACTTGTAAGATTATGATAACAATAAATCACTTGTTCCATGCAGACAGAATAATGTGAACAACACATCAGTGGAGAGGATTGAAGCCGAGCTGCAGCTGATCCACAAGGAATGCCCAACGGTTTATATTGACCTGCGTTGCGTCGATACTTCAACAAAACAACAGAGAACATCCCCAAATGTTTCATCAGAGCCCAAGTCACCAGCCAAACTCAGCACCCACCAGACAACAACATCTATAAACAAACCCAATCTTAATGTGCATGCTGGATCACAGACAGGAAATAGGTCAATATAACCACATTATAAACATTTGCCATGCTTCAGTTTAGCACATTTTGTTTCAGTTTGTGTCATTTCTCCACCAGGGAAGTCACTGGCAAGAGTCTGCTGCTCCAGAAAATCAGGGAGATGAGGAGAAATGAGAATGCATTTTCATTGCCAGGGAATGAAGCAGACGATATGAAAGAGAACATACCCCATGCCAAAAAGTCATCACATGTACAGTTTGACAGAAACCTTCAAATGGAAAGCCCCAAAACAACTCAGCAAAGTGCAATCAAAGAAACAAATCATCCGCGGTATGCGTTTCTTCTTTTTAAATTCATCACTTTATTGAGAAAAAAACGACTATTTTAACCATGAAATTGCTGATTTGTTATAGGCACCAAACGAGACAGCAAGTTAGGAAACCATTACAACATGAACAACGGAAGATTCTTAAGCAGCTGGAGAAACATCGCACAACCAAATCTGTCAATCAGAAGCAGCCAGCTGCTGAAAGGACGGACGTTCTGTATGATTTCGTAAGTGCCATCAAACAAAACTTGAACTTGTAAAAATGGCCTTCATTAATTTTCACTTTTATTTTTAGGAGGCATCTCATCTACAAACAATCTGTACACTGTCAGCAGATATTGAAAGCAAGGGGTGTATGCTGCTGATTGTCGACCTATCAACTCCTGGTACAGTCGGAGCAAGGGCTCATGGGAGGAACAAACATCGAAATCCAGCTCCGTCCAAACCAGACGTCTACAACACTTTAGTGGCTTGGTTTCTGTCTTTGGTGAGTGAGCAGTTCTCCTAATGTGTGCACAGTATCTGTTATCGCCACAATATCTTATGGCGCATTTCCACTACAGGGCCTCGCTCGGTATGGCTAGGCCTCGTTAGGCCTTGTTAGGACTGGCTCACTTTATGGCGCATTTCCATTACAGTTTAGGAACTGGGGTAATAACTAGTGATGGCGAGATAAAGCCTTATGAAGCTTTCCAGCCAATTGGTTCGCAAAAGGGTTCATCTCATGAGGCTTCATCATGGGCTTCATTTGAACACAAAGTGTGTAAAACAGGCAGATTTGACATCTCAACAGTGTGCTCTATCTCATACCGAGTTCCCAATGAGTAAAGCCTTAGAATAACTCTAAACAACGAACATTAAATCATATTTTCATGTTAACAATATTGTTTTTATTCCAGTTGAATGATTGTGATTGAAAAGCCTAAGGAGGCTGGTAAACATTGCAAAGAGGGATTTGTATTCCTTAATAATATTCTTAAACGTAACCATGTTGTAGCCTGAGAAAGGCTAAACCATATCAAAGAATACATTTATTAACTACATTATCTCATTTAGCTGTAGCTTTTATAAACAACAAAAAAGACGTATTGTTCAGTCGCTGAACCAGAGACCCTGCGGTCGAGAGTCAACTGCTTTCCAGCTGAGCCACAGCACACACGCTGATTAATTGACAGACAGGCCCACTTAATGCGCGGCATGTATCGGCCGGCCGGCGACGAAAGTATGTTACTTAACAAAAAACCCTATGCATTTTATGTTATTTTGGACAATTATTCATATAGTAATCACATTACCTGAGCCCTTGAGTTGAATAGAGTAAAATAGTTACGGCATATATTTAGTGATTTTAATGTTAACAGATCATTGATGCAATACAATTTTGACCCAATTTGCCTGACTTGACACATCGAATAAAACATGGGCGTAGGAAGCATCCTCAATGTGGGTGAGACAATTTAACAGGGGGTGTGGGCAGGTGGTGGACCTCACCTCCTCTAGGGGGGTCCGGGGGCAAGTTCCCCCGGGAAGATTTGTTTTTAAATGTTGAAGTTAAATGCATCAATCTGGTCCATTTTGAGAGCAAAATTAGGGACTAAATCTATGGCAGTCAGTAGGGGCTTGGACTGTGAGCCGTAGGGTCGCCGGTTCAAGTCCCCGACCAGACCTATTTGGAGTGTGGACTTCTACTTGGAGAGGTCCCAGTTCACCTCCTGCCCTGCCGTGGTGCCCTTGAGCAAGGCACCGGACATCCCCCTTCCCCCTCACTCCCATTGCTCCGCGGGCGCTGTACAATAGCTGCCCACTGCTCCTAGTACTAGACTCCTGGTACTAGGATGGGTTAAAAGCAGAGAACACATTTCACTGTGTGTGCTGTGTGCTCTGCATGTGTGACCATTAAAGAGGGTTTCATCCCCTCCCAATCAAGTAACTGTATTCAGCTCGCGTTACATTTGAAAAACGAGTAATCTGATTACAGTTACTTTCGTAAACCTGAAGTGAATACATTTTGGATTACTTATTGGAATTATTGGTGGAAAGATTTCCTCACAACATTTAATATTCATTACTAAAGGTACAGCTGAATCATCACAGCGCACAAAACCGCGCAGATGGACCAAAAAGGGGAGCGTTTGAAAAAAATGTGCGGGTCCGCTCAGTGAAACAATAACAACGTAACATGGAGGAACAAAAGTCTGCGTTTAAATCGTGTGTGTGCACAGCACCGGTCCACCGGGGAAACTCCCGGTATTCCCAATGGCCAGTCCGCCCCTGGTCTGAGCTCTCTTAATTCCATCGTGTCACCGGGCCCGGGTACAGGAGGGGTAATATGGTTCTTATTATACATCCATGGCCAGAGTTGGGTGTAACGCGTTACAAAAAAATATTACTTTTGTCGGTAACGGAGTAGTGTAACGCGCTACTTTTATAATTCAGTAATCACACTACAGTTACTAACATTGCCCCGACATGCGTTACTTCGTTACTTACTAAAATCAGTCATAATCAAACCTCAACAAACACCTGCAAAGAACACATGCTAAGGTGAAGCTAACGCACAGCTATTTGTTGTTTGTTTATATCACGTAGTCTGTTCTTCTTCTCTGTTTTCCGGTTGTTGCCTGTTTTGAATGATGAATACACACTACCGCCGCCTGCTGGTAAGGAGAGTTATTGCCACTCACGCATGCACAGTTCGTACGTGCTTGGCTGAAGTCTTTGCGGTGTCTGGTTCCAGTGCAACACATGGCCAACACGCAGGAGAACACGCCGACGCAACAGCGTGAGCAGAGATAGACTGCGCAAAATATACAGATAGCAGGAGACAGAGGACAGCCACGGTCAGATAGGAAAACATTCAGGATCTGGATCAGTCTTATGCGACAATGGAAACTGAACTAAAGAGAACATTTGAAACTTTAGCAGTCTGCGTGATCTGCCTGCAGGGAGGGGCGGGCCGGCCCTGCGAGTGAAGTAGCGAGTAAAGTAACGACTTTATGTAGAGAGTAACGAAGTAGTGTAATATATTACTTTTTAAAAAAGTAATATGTAATATATTACTTTTTTTTAGTAACGACCCCATCTCTATCCATGGCATGGGTAATATCAGCGCTGTGGTTCAACGGTTCAACCGATCTGAATCGCTTCCTGAAGCAGTCAAGTGGTATCGACAGGCAGCGAGGCTTCGTTTGTCATCGGTGACGTCACTGGCCCAAAACGATACATGCTTCACAAAAAGCTTCGGGGATTACTCGACACACGCTCCGAAGCCTCGGCGCAATACGTAACATCACTAGTAATAACTATAGTAACTCAGTGTAGGCGGAGCTGTGACATAATCTTCAATAGGCGCATTCACACCGCAGTACTTTTCCCACAAAGGTTCATGAGAATTTAGTTCATGAGAACTCTTTAGTTCTCATGAACTAAGTACAGATCGCGTTCACACCGGAATAAGTCCCTGGGGGAGGATTAGGCAAATGATGCCGCTGACGTCACTTCTTCTTCTTCTTCTTCTTCTTCTTCTGCTTTGGGTTTACTGGCAGGCCACAAACCACTTCACGGCGTATACTGCCGCCCAAAGTCCGCGGCCGGAAGTTCCCGGAGTTGGGGACTGGCTTCAGTAGAAGCTGCTGGGAGTCCCAGCAGCTTCTACTGAAGCCAGTCCCCAACTCTACTGAAGCCTTCCGAGTAAATCGCCAGAACGCCGACACCTCCTCATCTCCACCGCTCCCATGTTTTATTTTGTGTTGCCATAAGTTAGTCTCTCTGCGTTTCTGCGCTGGGCTAATGCTAATAATGCTAATTATTTCACACACAGTGACGTCACGAGCTACCCACAATGCAACATGCGCCATATAAATATATATAAATGCGCCATTTTCCTGGAGGTGCTAATATCCTGGAAGTGCAAATATAAACAGCTAGCTAACTAGCCAGGCAGAGCGCAGTAGGTTTTTTTTCTGAATTAACGACCGAAGAAATCGCTGCATGTCTTCGGATTACATCTCTGGACTTGAGGGGTGTGCTTTAGGTCGTTACCAGCGTAAACTAGAGATGTGTGGGTTGTTACAGACTGCCTGCAGATGTATGGAAAAACGACAGTGGCCTTCGTCGATTTTGGCAGCATCTACGTCTATCTTCTGGAAACACCAGGTGAATACCCCACTTGTCACAATAATATTATCATGCCATTGCATATATGTGGTATTTTAGAGTTGACTAGATATTGATTAAGGCAATAGACTATGATATTCAGTACAGGAAGCTTAGCAACACCTAGACGGTGTACGCCTGCTTGCACCTCGCGTAAAACGGCGCAGACCGGAAGTACGGTGTCGCGCTCGGCCCAATACCCATATGTGTGTGTGAAAGAATGCGAGGATAATAAAATGGCGGCTTCACAAAACTTTTTGGGAGTTTTACGGGGCGTGGTTTGCAATCCGCCCAGCCAATCAGACATAGGAACCTTTTTCTCCCACGAAAGTCCCTGCTCTCTAGAGGCGCTTTCACACTGCGGTACTTTTCCCACAAAGGTTCATGTGAACTTAGTTCATGTGAACTCTTTAGTTCGCATTGTGTAGTTCGCATTCGTTGTTGTGAGTGTGGACGGTCGGAGCATATAGGCCTACTGCGTTAGCTTAGCCGATCTCCATTCAGAAAACACACATTTTAAAAGTTTTTTTTCCTGCCGTCTGTCTGCAGACTTGTCAAAGCATTAATTCATGGTTTTTACTAACCGGTATCAGTATGTTGTTACTTCGGCATCATTTTGAAACGTGTATTACAATTAAATCACGGTCAAATATGTTCATCTTGTTGTAGTTGTAGCCCCCTTGCCAGCGATTCTCTATCTAGTTTAGCATACTCAGCCCGACTCAGCCTGGTTGTTGGCCTGGAAAGAACCTCGATTTTATGGGGCCAGAAAAACTGTGAAAAAGTACCCGCTAGCCGGAACTACGCCAAGTGGAAATGCAACCAAAAACAGGCACCGCACGGCTCGGCACGCTTAAAGCGAGCTCCGCGCTGTAGTGGAAATGCGCCATAGTCACTTGTTTGTGTGTGTTAGGCTGGCCCACAACATGATGAAGAGGAGGGTAGTGCAGAGGTCCCATTCTGGGTTGCAGGCCTTCAGCAGCTGTGGACAGAGGATGGACTGGCTCTGCACGTTTTAGCCGTGGCTCGGCAAACGTACACGCCGAGGGTGAGTAGACAAACAAAAACGTTACATCTGTACGCTTTACAATGTCCGTGCTGATGCTCTTGATCACTTTGTTTGCTTGGCAGAAAAGGGACAGAGACATCCACACACGGTTCTATAACCATGTGTGCCGGTTCCTCTCTGAGACTTTGCTCACTCAGATCGCCCACTGGCTTCCTCAGCTGAAAAACGTGCTGGACCAACAAACCTACGCCTCACCCATCGATCTGCCCTGCTCCTGTTTGAACTGTTTCATCTCCACCACCACAGACAGAACGGTAATTGGCTTCAGAAAGTGTGATTCAAAAGAACAAATCATGAACAACTCACTTTGACAGTACATTCATTTGGGTTATGCATAGTCAAGAAGCCTACAACTAAAGTATGAACCCGGAATGAGCATAAATCCCCTTTAACATTTTGTAAAGCACTGATTTTGCATTGTGATTCTGTATGCTGTTATTTTGTATTTCAGGTTATAGTTCGGACATTTAGACTCAGCCCAGGGTTTTACTGGCAGACTCTGGAGACTCAGGAGCGTGTGTGTAAGGGGAGGGAGAGCGCACAGGAGCTGCACACTGAGGTGAGTATGAAGTGCAGAGTCAGAGGCAAAGTAACGCTGGAATCACTGAATATTCTGCTTTTATTTTTGCTGTAGGTTTCAGTCGCTCTGGGGCGCGGAGCTTTCTTCCTAGATCCCCTCATGACACACTACACCCTCCAGCTTATCCTCCACTCAGGGCTGGATGTGTGTGGTCTGAGGCTCCTCTATCCACCACAGGAGCTCCTGGGTGGCAGAGAGGGTAGGCATAACTAAAAGTATCTGCTGATCAAATACAATAAAAATTCTGCTCCAAAAACAAGTTAAACAATAAGTGAAAATGTGCTTGGTAAGATTTCTTGAAATAAGAAGGGCTATTAAAATAAATCAGATCTTGTAATTAGCTGGGAGAACTTACTTAGAACTTTATTTGACCAGAATCAGGAAATGTTGTGTTGTGCAAATTCTCAAAAGTGTTCTGTTTTCTGATGTTAGCTGGTGATTTTCTAATACATTTGTAAAATAATATGTGTTTCGTCTGCGATACAACTCAAAATAAGATTATTTGACTTAACAAGATGATGCGTTGTCTACAAACAAGACCCTATATCTCACTGCAGTGTTACTTCTGAAGTTATGATGTCTTCATCAGGTGTAAAGGCATCTTCTGACTAGATATAAGACACATATACTTGGCAAGATTTTGAGTTTTTATAGTGCAATAACTTTCCTTCTGGCTCATTGCTGGTTGTCCTGGATCCAGAGATGGGGACTCGAGTCTGTGACTCGGACTCGAGTCGCACTTAAGTCGCACACACAGAGACTTCAGACTTGACTTGGACTCCTGCTCAAAAGACTTCGGACTCGACTTGGACTCGTGTTTTGGGACTCGTGAACAATCATTGTGTTTTCGATTTTTGGCGTATTAAAGGTGGGGTAGGTAAGTTTGAGAAACCGGCTCGAGATCGCTAGAATTTGAAAATACACAACCGGAGAAAATCTGCCACTTCCTCACAGAGCCCCTCCTCCAACACACACGAACGCGCACATGACCAATGAGGGCACGAGATACGTTTGTGCCCCGATGGGAGGCTGACAGGCAGGTAGGCCATCCAGTTACTTTAGCCGGGCCGGCTATCGGGATGTTAAGAGCATTCCATGGAATATAACAAAAAGTGTATCTCGAGCCGGTTTCTCAAACTTACCTACCCCACCTTTAACATTAACATCATGGTAACACCATGGCGACAGGCCGCACACCTGCAGCTGTACCGCTTGTAATTAGGTTCAACTATACAAACTTCGAACAAAACGCTGGCGGCACCAACAAAAGGAGCGCACACTGCAAAGTCTGCAATATTAAAATCAAGGATGCTGGTGCAACAACGTCAAATTTCATCAGGCACTTGAAAACTCACCCGGAGAGGTCAGTCACATTAACGCATATGGACGGTTAGCAAACATGTTTAGCTCAGCATCAGCTATGTAATGTTAACTTAGCTTGCTACTAGCTTTGTAACTGAATATTTGAAAAGATGAGTGAATGTTTGCTTGTCACACTTGTTTGCGTTGAGTGGCGTTGACATCCAACTCTTGACATGACATAAAAAAGGTCGGTAACGTTAATCATTACGTTCCGCTGCCACCATCTACTGGCTAACGTTAAACGTAGAAAAATACATAGTTACATACATAAATACATCTGTCGGTTTATAGGCAGGTTACAGGTTTATTGTTGACCACGTAACGTTAATGTTACAGGTTACCATTACACTGGGTTTGAGTGAGAGGATAGAGGAATATGTTTATTTATAGTAGACTTAAAAGATGTAATTAGAGACCCAGTGTAATTAAACAATACGGTTGCAGAGGTCACATTTTAACATGTTTGTCCACTGGCCAAATGGCTAGCCTAGTGAATGTTGAAATGTTACCAGCCACTCAATAGATTGCCATTGTTATTTTTGGCTGGTGCGTGCAACATACAGTACCAGCCACTTGCATGATTTACCAGCATTTGGCTGGTAAATGGTGTTAATGGTAGATATCTCTTTTGGAACAGGTCATGTTTTAACATCACCAGTTCAGTATATTTCAGATAATATTGCAGCAATAGTTTTTTAGTTGCAAATGGCTCAGAACAAATGTTTACTTTGAAGTACTTTTAACACAGTTTCCCTGCGGGGGATTAATAAAGTATTTGTGATACTGATTTCTGATTCTGAAGTGTTTTGCTTAGTTGTTTGCATTTAGCTAAAGTGTGATGTTTTTCCTCATATTGCATTGCAATAGCCTGTTTAAAGTGATCATATAACAAACAACTAATCAGTACTGATACTGTATGCTAATAGATATAGGAGTGATAATAATACAGTAAATGCTTTGAATTTCTTAGATATAGCTGTGCAGTATTCTTAACAGACTGGATAGCAGCAGACAATAGAAGGCTTATTACAACCAGAAGAGACATGAGACTTTTATTTTTTAGAGACTTGAGACTTGACTTGGACTCGTGACCAAAGACTTGAGACTTGATCAAGTCTCACCCCACAAAGACTTGAGACTTGACTTGGACTCGTGACCAAAGACTTGAGACTTGACTTGGACTTGCAAAAAAAGACTTGTGAACATCTCTGCCTGGATCCAACGGTGGCCTCGGCCTCTTCAGTGTCTTTATTGAGCTAAATTAGTCATTACCCCCCTCTGATTCACAGATGCTGCAGCAGGTATCCAGAGAACAGATGAGTTCTGCCAGCCTGTTCTTGCCCTTGCTGTCCGTGGCCTTCATGCCCACAAAGTGTTGGCAGATGTAACTAGTTCCTTAGATCCTCTGCTGCTGAGAAATACAGATCTAGACCCTCCTCACTGCAGAGGTCCAGAGTCTGCCCTCTTCTACCCCCCTCCAAAGGCTAGTGGGGTCCACAGGGAGCTGTGCTTCTGGTTTTCAGGAAGAATTCCAGGAGGAAGTGCTCCGAATTACAACCGGCCTCTAACTAGGTTTGTTGTCAAGACATTATAAAAAGTACAACAACAACATGTTTTCTTTAATTATATATTTGGTGGTGTGAATTGAAAAAAACAGGGTTAGCACATTTTTGAAATGGTAATTGTTCGAAAACTTTTCTTAACATTTATTTTTATAAATATTAACGTCAAAGGAAATATAAAAAGCTGACACCCTATAGTGACTTTTGCAGGCAGGCGTTAACAACTATAACATTCTATAACCAGAATCTTATCAGGCCTAAAGAGCGTTTCTAAGGACAAGAAGCATATTACCTTCATGACTGTGGCTGCTTTTTATTTGAACAGACTCATTTTCAGGCACCTTGTTTTGTTTGTAGAATGGATCCATCAAAAGACAGAACCGAAGACACCCTGTTCAATTCAAGCAGTTCACCGTCCTTACTGTGTGCGACAACAAAAGGTACAGTAACTCAACATGGAGCCAGAGCCGTTAGGACAACGCTCGAAAACTGGCTTCTGTCCAAATTTCAATTCCATCTTTACTTGTGTTTGTAAGGATGAAAGATGTTTACTTGAGTGGGGTTGCTAATCCTTCCCTCCCCCCTACAGCTGACCTTCTCCTGGTGGTCTCTCCAGCTGTGCCTCCATGTTGCTTCGCCCAGCTGCTGGCTGTGTGTGAGCTCAGAGGCTTCAGACTGTTGGGGGTGCAGAGGCTGCAGCTGCAGAGCAGTGGAGCGGCAGCCCTGGGTCTCTCCAGCCTGCAGGTAGAATTAGATACATTCAGACTTTGAGGAAAACAGTGTGTATAATATAAAGATACAATATTATTATTACCAAAGCTAATCATTAAGACATGTATTTTATATTGTACACAACTGCTATAGTTGTAGGGAAATGTAATATTTACTGGAGACACTTACAGATATTAAAGGGGCCCTATTGTGCTTTTTGGGGTGTTATATGTTTTAGTGCATGTAAATGGTCTGCGAAGGCTAAAATCCAGGTTTCCTCCAGAGGGAGTTTCTCTCCCACCCCTGCCTAAAACTCCTCCATTGTAGTCCTTTGTTTACTTCCATAACATAGTGACATTATGTAACACTCTTGCTTTATCCGCTAGCTCTCTAACACATTGTACGTGATTATTAACCAATCATCAAAGAGCTGGCCAGCTAGCCAATCAGAGCAGACTGGGCTCACGTTTCAAATAGGGTGAAAAGAGGAACTTTGTGAACATTAAATCATGTAAACATGTCACAGTAGAGACACAAAAAACAATGATGGAACCTGAAAGTGAGCATAATAGGGCCCCTTTAAGAGGAGAATGTATTTTGCTAGACCTTGGAGCTGCTGATGGAACAATTGTGGTCTTTGAGGCAAATGCACCTCAATGTGGGCCAAGTAACTGCTGGTGAGGTCAGAGAAAACAACTATTTCGGCTCTTTTTAATCACAATCTGTGTGTGTTTTATCGAGGCACCTGTGTTCTGCAGTCCTCATCCTCTGACCCTGGATCAGGGTCAACTGGAGTCGCCCTCTCACTGTCTGGTGTTGTTACTGAGGAAAGAAAATGCAGCGCACCACAGTGTCAGGCTGCCAGCAGGTCCGTACACCATCTCAAATGATATCTACAGCGTAATTAATCTGCATTAATCATATTAAAAGTTACTTTTTCAATTGAACAATAGAACAACCTTGCAGTTGCTTTTTCGTTTCAGCCCTAATGAGAGAACTTAAGGCACAAAGGCTTCTGGGTAGCATCCACTCTGGACCTGATGGTGTTCACACAGTAGAACCAAGCTCCTGGTTCCACACTGTGCCTTACAGCAGTCACCAGCACCACATCTTTGGTGAGCCACGTGTGTTCAAAGTCCAGAAGAAGTACACTATCCTCTGTTTCTAATGTTCTTTTTCCTCTTAGTCAGGTGTATGTGGGCGGTGCCAGACCCTTCCACTGTGATCCTGTCCCATCAGAGGTGCCCACCCGACCCTGAGGTGGACCAGGTGGTGGTTTTGACCTTGAGTGGGAAGGACATGAGCCGAGGTCTGAGCCTCCTACACAGAGCGCTGACAGGAGGGCCAGACGGTGGGTTTGAGGACAGATTGTTCTACTTGGCACTGGAGGTGGCACTAAACAAACAACATGCACTATTAAACACACACCGCAGTCTACACAGTTTAACAAACAGATTAGCAAGTATGCGGGGGAAGGATTTCATCAGAATTATTTTAAAGCGTTAATATGTAACTATTCCACATTAAGATGTCTTAAAATTACTAGACCGATGTTGTATATTGTGTTACATTGTTTACCTACGTTTTTTCATAATTTTCAAGTTAAAATGATTCTTGATGATTGATGCCTTTCATTCTCTGTAGTTTTGCAGCATGGTGGTTATCTGCTAGAAGCTGCCATAAATTAACCTTTTATTCGGTTTTAAGAACCAGTTTTAAACTACATTTCTTCGATCTTGGTATTTTTTAACTATACATTTTTTACAGAATCATGGATTTTAGTCATTGGACATCTAGAGTAATCAGAGAAACATAGTTCACAAAGTCACCCGTGTTCTGTTGTTGGTTTGATTGAGAGACCCCTAATGGAAGAAATACACATAGTGTGCCTTTACCTTACCGCACATCTGTATTTTTCAATACTTGCAATGTTTTTTAAATTGATATTCAAGGTGATAAAGGATTGGATCTGCTTGCTCTGAAGTGGCTGCCTGCGCTGACCCGGCTGCAGGCTCAGGAGCTGAGTCCGTACGAGGTGGGAGAGAAGCTCTATAACGACAGCCTGGACTCTCTGATGGCCCCCCCCCGCCCTCCTGTGTGCTCTCAGACGGGTGGATGCTTTTGCTTCACTGAGAAACCTTCTACCAAACGATTACCCCGGTAACCTCAGCATCCTGATGTCCCCCACACAGGAAGTGGCGTTCAGACAAACCTCCCTCTTCTTCTTCCAGAACGAGATGATTGCTGGTAGGTCAGAAACGGGTTTATTACCAGGTAGGTTGACACGTACGAGGAATTTGACTTGGTGTCGTTGTGCATACATTAAAATAAAAGAGAAATGTAAAAAAAAAACAGATCCAGAACTGTTTTAAGAACACTATGATAACATTAAAAAATAAGATAAAATATAGTCGAATAAAAAATATAATAAAGTTCAGTGCTGTAGAAACAAAACATTAGAATCCACAGCTTAATCTCTTGAGGGATGATCTGGTTTGAAGTTATTGAGACCGAAAATGAAGGACAGTGCTCATTACGTACTTCCATCTTTTTTTTAAATTTTTTTTTATTTTTATTGCTTTTTATTAATTCTACCGTGTTGTGTAATGTTTATTTATACTGTTCATGCTCACTACTTGTAGCACTTCGGGATTTTAAATCAAATATGAAGTGCTTTATAAATGGAACCCATTATTATTATTATTATTATTATTATCTTCTCTTGTGTTTAAAGCAAAAACAACCCGATCTTCAAATCAAATGTAATTCTTATTACCGCAAGCATGTTGAGCCTGTTGTGATATTATGTAGTGATTGCTTAATGTAGATTTCTAAAAACTACGGAACACAGGAATAAGTGACATTTATTTGTTGTAACTTGCTAGTGGACAAAAACATTCCTAAATGTGACTTAAAAACCTCAGATGGTATCTGATTTTTTTCTAATACATTTTTCAATTTTAATCTTGGAAATTGAGACTTTTTCCTCTGGCTCCATTTTGTTTTTTACCTTAAATAATTAATTAATTAATTCCTTACATTTATTATAGCGCTTTTTCAATGACTCAAAGCGCTTTACATATACACACATTACACATATATTATACATGCAATGGTCAGATACTGTGGACAATACCCACAGGAGCAAGTTCAGGTGAAGTGTCTTGCCCAAGGACACACCGGCTTTACAGACGCAGCAGCGGCGGGTTTCACCCCTTGATCTGATGATCATTGCACAGCGCACTGCGCCACACCGTCCATCTTCACGCCTCGAGGTCATCGAGGCGCTTTTACAGGTACACATTGGTATCATACATGTACTGTGGACATTACCCACAGGAGCAAATCCGGGTGAAGTGTCTTGCCCAAGGACACAACGGCCTGACGCTGTGGCGGCAGGAGCGGGTTTCGAACTGGAGTTCCCCAGCACTCCCCCTTGATCTGATGATCAGATGCACAGACCACTGCGCCACCCGTCCCAAATAGTTCTAGTACACCGTCTCACAAGTGACATCTAAATCTGAGGATCAGTATATTTTGTGCAGCCCAGGCTTGTGTATAATACTGGAGAACTGTATTATTATATTTATACAAGGTCTAACTTTTTTGGGCACATAGTTGTGTTTAAGACCGTATTAAAGCGGCATGTCTTGAATATCATATTGAACATTCCCTCTCCTGTTCAGAGCCTCAGACGCTGCTCACTGTGTGCCTGCTCAAGCCAACAGTCTGGAACCAAAGTGTGGCTCAAACCGTGCACACCCTCCAGCTGAGGGGCCTCTCTCTGGTGGGCCTGCGCGTCCTGACTCTGGACAAACACACGGCCTCCTCACTGCTGCCTGCAGAGGATGTAACTAAGAAGTATTATCTGCCCGACAAATACACTGTGCTACTATCAACATTCCTCAGCCTTGATATTTGTGTAAATTGTTTTGTGCAGGACCCTGATGTGGAGTACTTGTGCTCTGGCCCCTCATTGGCTCTCTGCCTGCAGGGGGAGGGGGCCGTGACGAAGCTGCTGGATGTGGTTCATTCAAACACTGGCATCTATGGTACGTCCCTGTTCTGCATACTGTTATATTTCTATATAAGTGCATTGTTATTATGTTCTATACAAATAAGGGTTCACAAAATACAGTATATTTGGACTGATAAATTATAGACTTACATTTAGTAAAGTGATATTATTATGTAAAATTCAGATAGAATACAGTTTATGATTTTTTTTTTGGGAAACAATCAGTCATCATATCAGTGTTGGCCATTCGAACCACGAAATGAAAGGTTGCGGGTATTGGCTAAAAAAAGAAATAATATTGTGCATCCATATAAACCTGCATTGCCGTTCTTTAAGTGTTTGTAAAGCCAATATTTGGGGAGCCGGTTCGAATCCCAACTTGACCGCCACTGCAGTCAACATGCCGTTGTGTCCTTGGGCAAGACACTTCACCCTAATTTGCTCCTGTGGGGATTGTCCACAGTATTCATTGATACATGTCTAATATATGTAATATGTAATGTAAAGCACTAAAATACATTTAACAAATTATTATTATTATTAATTATGAACTATTTTAGGATCGACATCACATCAGAAAGCGATGCAGGATGTGAGGAGGCTCTTTCCAGAGGGGCTGTGCTGTTCTGAGAGCAGCACAATGAGACAGGAGCAGGTATGCATGTCACACACAGGACTCCTCAGTACTGAGGTGGCCCTTTCTACAGATCAAAGACATTCAGTTTGTGCTCGGTTTCTCCTCTCAGATACTCAGCCTGCGCTCAGACCCTTCAGCCTCTTTGGAGCGGGGGCAGAGCTGCACTCGGGCCTCTGTGGACCAGGAGGGGGGTGCACCTTCCATGGCAGCGGCACATAATGGAGGTGTGGACTAAATGTCTAATATCAGACTAAATGCCAGAGATGGCAAAAGTACACACATCCTTTACTCAAGTAGACGTACAGATACTCGTGTTTAAATACGCTGGTCAAAGTAGAAGTACTGACTGAACTTCTTTACTCAAGTAAAAGTAAAGAAGTATGGGCTTCAAAATGTACTTAAAGGGATAGTGGAAATGGAACCTCAAATAGTTTCGTTTTAACTTATATACAAGCATAATTACGTACCAAAACAATCACACCTGATTAAAAATATATAATAATTGCCTTACGCATGTTAGAAGCACTTTATTGCAGCTTCCCCGAAGTTTTTTAGAAACGAAATGTTCGACTCAGCCAAACCGGAAGTGACGAAAACTTAGGAAGACGATACGATAACAAACCATGGCGTCTATGCAGAATGAACGTGGAAGGGCAAATATACCAGACAAAGAAGAAGGATTGTACGAGGTATCCAGTGAGGATAGCGAGTCAGAAACATCCTCTCGGCTTTCCTACGAAAATGTCGTTTTAGGAACTGAATCTGAATCCGGTTCAGTAAGCGACGATGGTGAGAATATTGAGCCAGACGATGGACCATTACGTCCTTATTTGTTCGAGCCCGAGCCCGAGGTGATGGTTCACGGCATGGGCAATGGCGAGGATGACCAGGACCAGGCGCCAGATGATGCACCCCTACGCACAAATAATCTTGACTGGTAGGTCCCTAAGCATAGCTCACGCATCTTAAGATCACCTGTAGCTTTTACAAATATTAATCATTGTTAACCAGTTAAGGCCGAAGGTCCCCCCAGTGGACCCCTCCCACAGTTTTTTTTCTCTCACATGTCTCAGGGCTTCTTAACATTTATGAAACTATTAATGTTTCATACCCTTTTAAAGGTAAGAAACTCCGCTAACTGACAATAAGAACAATGGTTAGCTAGAAAAAACACAAGAGTAATACCAAGCCTTTGAATTAGCATTGAGCGAAACAATGCTAACTAATGCTAACGCTTTTTTACACACAACACACGGTAGAAATTCCCTTATTACTATCTTAACTGCACAAACAAGATATACGATTTAAAGCTGAGACTCCACAGATGTAATGTCATCACTGTAAGACCTCGAATTCCTGGAGCTATCAGCCAGAAAAGAGAAAGTAAACAACATCCGGTTCCAAAAATATTACAATAATTACGTCTTACCTTTTTTGATTTGTGATCAAAAGTTGTGTTCAACGGAATAAAAACGCATCTCAAGGTTAATCCAATGTCGTTGTGTCACGTAGAATCATATTTATGGCAATATACTCGGTATAAAGTATTGACACATCTATTCACCATAATAAAGGTCGGCTATTCACATGCAAATGCTATTGAATGTCCGCCATTGTTTGTGCCCGTCTTCCTCTGCTCTCGTCATCACCCGAAGATTCCCGACGATTCCCGAAGTATTTCGTTTCATTGAGAGGGCGCAGTAAAATTGAAAATAAAATGAAACTAGGCGCATGAAATTAAAAAAAATTGTTTATTATGCTTATTTTTAATAAAAATACATAAGTTAAACCCAAAATTTGCGGATTTCCACTATCCCTTTAAGTAAAAAGTACCCATAAATGTAAGAAGTAGAAAGTACAGGTATTTGTGAAGTAAAAGTAAAAAGTCATCAGAAAAACAAGTAGTGGAGTAAAGTACTGATACCAGAAAGATATACTACTGAAGCACAGTAACAAAGTATTTGTACTCCACTACTTCCCACCTCTGCTAAATGCATTGATAACTTTAGTTGTTGCATTGGCGGTGCAGGATTTCTTAGCATTACATTCACACTTTAAAGTCAAATCATCAAATGTCTGGGAGCTCAATCATTTATTAAAGTGAAATAGGTCAATAAAATCATTTATTGAGACTTTGGCAGCGACTGGATGTTGAAATACGACTCTCTTCCAGGTGACCTTGTTAGTCATGGACAAAACAAATGTTGTCTCTTGTTTGTTGGTGCCAGGTCTACACAGCTCTGCCTGGCAGACGACCTGTCTGCTGATACCGGTAAACGCCCCCCCTCTCAGCGGGGCACCCCCCCACCTGGAGCTGCTGGAGCGGCTGCTGGGGGGGGGGTGCCATCTGGTGGCCGGGAGGATGAGCCTGCTGGACCCTGAGCAGAGGAGACACATCGCTGAGACCCTGATGTCCTCCAGAGGAGAGGAAGGGGTGAGAAGACCATCATTAAACCGACTACCTTTAGAGCTGTCTCACAGTGATGGAGTTTAAGTATATACATTTACTCAAGTACTGTGGTTAAGTACAATCCTGAAGAACTCAATTTACTTAAGTATTGTAATATGTTACTTTCTCTACTATACTTTGGATAGGAACATTGTGCTTTTTACTTCGCTATATATTTGATATCTTTGTTTGTTATTACTTTGGATTCAGATTATTAATGCAAAATGTAAAAATAATGATGCATTAGTATAGCTTACATCTAACCAGCAGTATGAGTCATAAACACATTAACGCATCACTATATAATCACATAATATTATACATGTGACCTATGGGCCATTCAGCATTTATACTTTTGCTTCAGCACTTTTTTCAATTTCTTTAATTTGAGTAAGATTGGGAAATTAGGACTCTTACATGTGACTCTTTCTTAATTTACGAATTGTACGTAACCAGTGCTTTGTTTGTACTGAATCCCCTTGTCTCCTGTCTCTGCTTAGTGGTCCCATCTTCCCGCGGCACCCTGTCTCATCGTGGCTCTGCAAGGGAAAGCTGTTGTGACCGGCTTTAACTCAATCCTTGAAAGGTATTAAAAAAGCACAATTAAAATCTATTGTGTGCATGTAGAATATTTATAAATATTCATGCGTTTAATATTACTTTCATTGTGACATTAGTATTTACAAGGAGAGGACAGACCTGGAACAAGTGGGGGAAATGATGATCTACCCAGAGACTCAGAAAGAGGTACTTTATTGACTTACTCTTAATGAATGACCATTAACAGGTTTTAGCTGCATTATGTAAACCACCCAGGTGGTGAGATGTGTTGTACTGTCATGATGTTATTTTATTATGGTATGTCACCTTAACAGGAATATGTTGTTTCTCCTCCAGGCCGAGCAGCTGATGGGCTTTCTATTTGATGACTTGTCCACAGAGAAGTGCCAAAGAAATGTGCCATAAAATATAAAAGTATGCCAATGTATTAGTCAGCCTTTTTATATATGTTACGAAATATGTAATTTAAAATGCAAAAGAACATATCCATGTTTCCAAGTTGCTGTTCTGAATAAAGTGTTATCCCTGTTTTTTTGTTTTCAGATTCAGTATTTCCAAAATTGTGTTTGAGACAAAAAGTATTCACACATTTCAGATGAAAAATTATTTTAATTTTCAAGATGATAAAAATAATTGTGATAACTCTGTAAACCATTGCATAACTGTAGTGTAACAATTCAACAAGTGTTAACAAACTAGTGATACACTACAGAAAATATGCTGTACACAATCCTCAATGTAGAAAAGAACAATCTAGTTTACTAAGACTTGCACCTATTTCTGTGTTCACAAAACATATCAATATACCAAGAGAATCTTTCTAAGACTATCAGTAGAGAATTTCCTACATATCCATACAGCTGGTCACAAAATAAGGGACATATTGATTATTCTATAAATAAGATCTAAACCCACTGTTGTTCAGTACATAATCCAAGAAATGCACTTTCCTCAGATGTAACAAATTATTTTTGAAATCACTGAGAAAAAGACATTTCTTTCCTTATCCTTCCTCGTTATGCTGACCAATAGAAACTTGAAAACCTTTATTTGTTTGAGTTCTAATGCATTTTATTGAATAGCGAGTGGTTCACAACTAGATGCTCCATTAATATCCAGTGACCTATCATTGAATATCATTTAGAACAATACATTCAATATTTCAGGGCTTCAATGTTAAAATACATGACATTTTCTAAAGTGTATGGAACAGCTGGTTCCACATTCAGATTCTTTAGGTTTGACAACACGTGTCGTTCTAGCATTTTTGCTTAATTTGAACAGCTCCATCATTTACATGTACAAGATTGCATAAATCTTCAGGCTCCATCTTTCATAATATTAAAAAAACAACTAACAATAATGCAAATTAGATTAAACTATTCCAATGCAGAGCATAATGATACATCTATTACAGTTCATTTACAAGAGTCTTCCCCGTTGGTGCTTTTCTAACAAACAAATTGACTTTTTGGTGCCAAATGACTCATTGAGATCAAAATGAATTGAATGGTAGTTCAGCAAGTATTGCTGCGTTTTTTTTGTTTTTTTATCGTATGGCAAATACAGACTGAGATAGACGGTCATTTTTCAATTACAGCAGTTTTTCATTCAGCTCATGTGGCCTGAATCCTCGAGGATCATTTAGCGTTCACAGAATGGTCTAAATATCGTAAGGCACTGGCATTTTGAATCTAATTAAGCAATTTGAGAGCAAATGTGTCTCATATTCTGACATCTTCTCTTGATACCAATCAATATAATGTGATTATTAAAGGCACAGATGTACTTGAAAGTAATTGGTCCGTTAGATAAATTGAACAAATCTAAAGAAATGCGAGCTGTGCTTATCACGTGAATGTTTCTTTCATGTTAAAAACAACTTGAATTGGGGCGAGTAGACCACAAGAGAGACAAACAATTATCATAACAAGAACTCAGTTTGAATTATATGTCTGTATCTGCCATTAACGTTTGTCACAATCATCACCTGTCCCGCCATTGTACAAAAACTCATTTGGACCACAGCTTCAAAGAGATAGAAAACAAAGAGTCAGAGAGAAAAAGCACCGTTCACTGTAGGCCTACCATAACAGCATATAATGCATAACCATCAATTTCCAAAGTGATTGAGATTATTCGTGAAGCTAAACGACAAACCGTTTACATGGCCACTTCCGAAGCACAAATGTCATCACGGTGACATTCCTTCACTGTAGACGACATTAAACTGACACTGAATCCTCACTTGGGGCGGCGTGTGCTAGCCAGTATTGCACAAACCTGCCATTAATGTATACCTAGCACAAAAATCAAATATACAAATACACATTTTTTAAGGACCCATGCATTTTTGATGAACATTATCTATTTAAGGTACTAGGTGATTATTTAAAAAAAAAAAATCTATTTAGGTCTCCTTACTGAAATAATAATAAAAAAAATGAAATGTAGTACAAAAACAAAGAACAACAGTTTAGGTCTTTGGTAAAACTGCAGAAAATGAGTCCATTGATGTTGTAAGCAAAAGCCATTGGCATATTCCTGTTGGTTACTCTCGACCAGGAAGTCTTACTGAATGACGTATTACAGCAAAAATCCATCCAAAAACAGCCATTTTATTTTTGTTTTATCTGGATGGCCTTCATGACTACAGGCAGATGTTAGAAATTGTTTTATTCCAAGGGTAATTTCCCCTTTTGAAAGCGTATTTGGACAGCTACTAGAACACCACTTTGGTTGATTTTCCGCACACGACATCATTAATTGAGTTGGCTTCACAGCTAAAGCAAAGCAGACCCTGCTCCGTACACTGCTACCCAGCCGATGGGGGAATAACTCTGACAAAAAGAACCTAAAGGGACAATCTATGGCAGTACAATCTGTGACATCATTCTTAGTGATATACAAAAGTACTGAATGGATTTACAAATCATTAACAAGTCAAGTTAGACAGATGATAGAGTTTCTAAAAATCTGAGCTGTGGACGACGACATTCAAACATCTAAATGTAATAACAAGAAACTACATGAATACCTTTTCCAGTAGCAGCGAGGATCGCAGAAGTTATTAAGCCTTTACTACACTCAAAATAGGTCAATACAAATATCCTGGCAGTGACACAGAAATGTGTTTCCCTCTTTTCTTTTAACATATCGCATAACATGCAATACTAGAAATGATCAGCCTGCTATTTATGCAATTTAACGTCATCCTTAAAGGCTAAAATACTCTCTTTTTGATTTGCTTAATTGTCATTTATGTGAATGTAAACAATTCCTTTTCCCATATTAAGAAGTAGTAAAAAGTGTACCATGATTTGATATATTGAATAATACGTAAGAATAATCTTTTCTTTAACACAGTAGAAGGTCATTTCAAACAGAGGAACCTACCCAACTTACACTTTACCCACAGAACTCTCAATTCACGGCAAAATCATTACAATTAAAACAAACAGTTTTTTAATATGTTGCTATACAAATACATCCGTCCTGTTTGCATACTCCCAAGCGTTGAATTTGAAAAACCTAATTTCAAGGACTGCAGCTGCACCGAAAGAGCACCACGCCGAGGAATGAGTGTGTGGCGGGGGGACGACGACGACGACATTGTTCCATTATCTACCGCAGAAATACTTAATGGGATTGGGCCAAATACACTGGCATAAATGTATAATATATACACGTATATAGTCATACGCATGTTGATGCTTCTGCAAAGTTAAACTGCACAAGCTTTGAATACTTGTGACAATTCTACACATAACCTTTTTCACTGAAGGCACTTTAGAGTTAGAGGCCGATATGTTCTCAAGAGGCTAGATTCCTACAAAAATCACCATCTCAGGCTTTTAGCAAATACAATACATGCTTCTCTAACAGGCTAGCCTATAGACATCTCTACAAAACTAAAGTAACGGATTGAAAAACAGCCTTAACATGTAGCATGTGCCTTACTGATATTACAGCTGCTGGTTATGCCTTCAATGCATGTTACATTTGCACTTACTTGATTGAATTGTTTTATAAATCTAACTATGAAAGTAGAAACTATTAAGTACTTGTCTATGAAATCTTAATAAGATGTTGAACCATGCCATGATTTAACAGTTTCACAGTACACACAGAAGCTTCAGACATTAGCTTATATAGAAAACACACAATTAGAAATCAACAAAAAGGATACCTACAAAGCAGCTTCAAGCTCAATTCTATTTACCCTTTAAGAAAGTCCCAGCTAACAAAGTGCTTTTAGAAGAAATCTAACTTCTTGAGTTGGTCAAAATAATGATGCTTGACTAGGAGGATTTCAAAAAGAATGTTAATCAAGATGTGGCTTCACTTAAAGAGGAACACTGACACATGCGATTTCTTTAGAACATCTGCAAATAGTTTATATTGTTGGAAAACACTTCAAATGTTGCTTTTTTCCATCAGTAACTCCCCTTAGTGTTAAATGCAATAATACACATATGATGTGTTTATTGTGTATGTATGTATTCATTGCTAACAGCCTGTACATTTGGCCTATATTCCACACGTCAGTTTTGGTATCTCCATGCTGTGTTAATGGGTTTCCCCCAAAACATGTTTATCTGATATCGGTTCTTTGATGTCTTGTGTCTTGATTTGCTTCTGTGAGCTCTTGATGGATTCAGTATATGTATTCCTCTTTAGGTCAAGAAAAAACTGCTTTGAGTTTTGCCCATTTTATGTTTAGCATCAGCCCGTGTCCCTGGCAGTACGTTGGAAACATCCACACAGTGACCCCTTTGCATTTTAAAACCTGGCTACTGTGGTACCCTATCATCAATGGCTGTATCTGTATTTACTGTTGTGTCCTTTTCATCACACTATTCCCACCACCAGAAAGATTGAGAAGTGACCTTACAGTATGAGAAGAACTTCTCACTATATATATGATTATACAGTTACAGTGAGTACGTTTTATAGTATTTATTTCTTCCAAAACAAGAATATGATGTGTCTTAAGTCAACAGGTTTGATGCATATTTGTTACATTTCCACAGTATTTCTGAAACGTTGCTCTGGGTGGATTAGGTCAGAGATTGATCCACAATAATTCAAAGTGCAGTGAAGTATTTCCAATCAATAAACAGTAAAACACGAGGATAGAAATACAACCCATACTCATTCATGTCTTAAAGAATACAGATTTTAAGCAAGTTTAGTGGTCTCATTAGCATTTCTTTTTTTGTATCTGTAATTATGCATTTTCTGTCAGGTTTGCATATTTGTATTTTGTTTGGGGAAAGTATTCCTGCATATTGTGTATGTCAACAAATCTGGACACAAGATGAATGTCTTTTAGTGTCATGATTAAAGATCTGAGAAATTGCATTGCGATGTAATTTAATATTCTAATTTGATTGCATGGATTTTCACACAGAAACCCACCTGGCTGAACAAGGTCATGTGCCCAGAAAATGAGCAAAACAAAATGAATGATTTCATTTCATCCCCTGTACACAATCTGATTGATAATACTATTTGTTTGTCAGTCAAACATCATCGTATTCTAAATGTATTCGATCACTGTATGAAACAGACATTGCTATTTAGAAAAATGGTCATATCTATTAGCAGTTTTTCAAAGGGCTTATATTTAAATAATACCTCGACTAGTTGTACATCACCACTTCACTATTTTTGTTCTACAGTAGGGACATTCTGTTTTACTAAGCACACAGTTCTCACATAGTACATAATGTTGGCAAGGCTGCAGGACAATGCAACGATCATGCTTTTGGCAAACTATACATTTCTTTGACTGAAGCTGATATATTACCTGTGGGGGAAAGAAGAGAATGGATATCAGCCGCAACTTAGGGAAACACTTCATGCAGATTGTTCAAATTAGCATGGCAAAACGTAGCTCTGATAAACCCGTTAAAAACTAGATGCTAAAAGTGAAATTCTATGTGTGATCTATTCTGTCTTACCCCGTCTATAAGGTCTAGGTCATTACGCAGCTGACTCTGGAGCGAGTGGAGCTTTGACAAGGGGAGCTCGTCCAGCTCTCCATAGCTACGTAGCAGCGGCGTCCCCGGGGTGCGACAGAGCGCGTCAAAGTCCCCTTGGAGCTCTTTGAGCTTGCGCTGCGTCTCCTCCCACTTCTGTTCGGCCAGCTGCCGCTCCGCCTCGGCCGTCTTCGCTTGCTCCTTTGCCTCCAGAGCGTCTTTCTGGCAAGCTTCACAGGCCTGGAACAAAGAGTTGCGATTACATACAAATCCATGAGCTAAGAGGTGTTTTAAAGGTCCCCTATTATACTGTTTTTCATCAATATATTATATGTCTCAGATATATACAAAACATGTCTCTGAAGTGTTTTGCTCCAAATAGTAAACAGATAATTGTAACATCCCATAATCCCTTCTGTTTCAGGCCTGTTTCAAAAGTGCTGATTCTCTGTCTGTTACTTTAGATCAGGGGTGGGGAACCTCCGGCCTATATACGGACCGCGAGACCATTTGGTACGACCCTCGAGGTAATTTATAAACACACGCAAAAAAGAAAAAAATGAAAGAAATCTAGACCGCAAAATAATGAAACAAGCGAGTGCCTGTTTTTCCTGGCCAAGGTCAGGGTCCTTGAACACAACACGAGCCTAACGTGTCATCACGTGGTATATGTCTCGTCTGACAGGGGTGCAGTTCTGACGGAGAGCACCAGAACGCCGCTCCGGCACTTCAGAAAAGGAGCCTTACACATGCCGCAGTTTCTGCGTGTCTGTGTCTTTAGTTGAAAGCCCAGTGGCGATCTGCTCATCTGTCATACTGATCATACAGTCAATAGCTTTGTTGTTATTAGCATCTGGTTAGCTAGCTATGCTAACGAATATAAGAAGCTTTTTCTACAACCAGTGAGGTAAAGGCACATCTTTATATGATCATTATAGTTATAAAAAAATAAACAGGTATAAAATACTATATGACAGTAAAAAAAAGTTGTTATTAATAAAGAAGAATACAGTTTGAAAGGAGAGTGATTTGTAAAATATCCATAAAGAAAAAGAAAATCTGCTTCCAGTTCTGTTTCATCTGGGTGTTGAGAGATGTATCCATAGATCTCCTAATGTTGCTCTCAAAGTGCACCAGATTGATGCTTTTAACTTCAACATTTAAAACAACAAAAAAAACAAATCTTCCCGGGGGAGCATGGGGGGGGGAATCATGTTCACATGGATAGGAAACTAAATACATTTGCACACATCTTGTGTCCATATCTTTCTGTTTTGGTGGTCATGCCACAACCGTGCACGTGCATGCATGCGCGAGTCATGGTAAAATATCTGGATTAAGAGGTTGCTTTTTCTTTGCACAGAATGAAAGAAAGGTGAAATTAATGGGCTGTGATTTTAGTATTTTTAAGCAGAGGTCAATAATTTGCACGGCCCTCTGAGGAGGATGAAAACATTGAAATGGCCCTTGAGAGGAAAAAGGTTCCCCACCCCTGCTTTAGATGAAAAATAAGGAGCCCCTCCCCACACCCCTCAGAGATATTTGGATAAAAAGAACACAATGGTGCTCTAGGAGATTCAGGTGATAAGGGGGGGGGGGTTACCTTGGTTGGTGATTGGCTAATGGTTACACAAGCCAAAAAATCGTTATGACATCATAAAATGTCCAAAATCTGATCAGCTCATTTTCAGTCAGGTTTTTATAGAAATGGATCAGGACAAAAAGAGAGAGAATCTTTTTTCCTGAAACTTTCAGAATCTCTTCAAACAGAGAAAAAAAAAGAAGTGGATTTTGCATAATAGGTCCCCTTTAAATGAGTTAGTTTACATCACTGACTTGTTTGACCTGGTGCCAGGCCTCCTCCCACTGTTTGATCTTCCTCTTGGCCTCGTCCAGGTCCCTAAAGAGCCGAGCCAGATCTGCACTGCTGGCGCTGGACGTCAGGCTGCTGAAGACTGGAGAGGGGCTCGGAGAGAAGCTGCCACTCACAAAGTCCCAAATGCTGCTGGCCCCGCCGTTCAAGCCTAGGGGAGAAGTGTTCAAGTCATAAGAACAAGCAGTGGATAGTGTTTACAATCATTTGGACCAATGTCTAATTGCTAGTGATTTAGTTCAGAGAAATGGCATCCTTCCAGCAACTCTAAAAGCCATATTTCTCAGCGTAACTTCTGGAAGGTTGAAAACTTTACTTAATACTTAATTACGCTAACGTTAAATATTGCAGAAAGATAATAAGATAAGAACTGTATTAACCTCAAAGTAAATTCAGATGAGAGATTGCTCAAAACAATAACATAATAAATAGATTGATAATTATCAAGAATTAATACCGACACCACCACAAACATTTTTAGCAATAAGAGAAAGAATAAATATAGTGAAGTAAACTAGAAAAGTGAATAACATGAGAATAAAACAGTAAAAAACATTTATAAAGTGTTATGCCAACACCAGTGCAAAATAGTATTTCATAGTAAGGTATAATTAGTATAATAAGAAAACTAGAATAAAAAGTAATATTTTGCATGATAAAAAGAGTTTTGTAAATAATATTAAAAATGTTATATTGCACATGATTTGGATATTACTTTTGTTCTCACTGTGTACGAGTTCAACTATTTCCATTGCCATATAAGACTGAGATTCAAATCTGAAGTCGAATGCTTCCCAGCTCACGCGGAACAAAATGCCTGATGCTATCGGCTCACCTAAAGAATTCTGGGAAGAGGAGGTGGGAGTTCCCAGCAGGCCGTGCTCCTGCTTGGCTAACATGTTGGAAGGGTGATTCTGCTGCGATATGGAGGCAGCGAGCAGGGACTGCGACAGAGACTGAGACAGGGAGCTGAGCGGGGAGGTGGAGAGCGAGGAGGACGAGTTAAAGGAGGAAGATCGGCCCAGAGAGCCGGGAATGTTCACAGGAGCGGAGCCACCCAGCATCCTCTGTCCTGTGGGGACAACCGAAACACTGCTGTTACATTTGTATCATTTACAGGCATATCATGAGACCACCTGTGTTGGACAGCTGAATGTACTTTAACAAACTGCATGTCCTTACTTGCAAATCCCATACTGTTGTCCTGCTCCTCCAGCTCCTTATCCAGAGATGCAACATTGATGTCACAGAAGTTCAGGTCCAGAGCGGATCCTAAGGGGAAACGGAAAACATCTGGCTGACATTTTAAACAAAATGCAGAGCGGCAGTACGCAGCTCAGTGGCTTCACAGTGGACGTAACAAACACATACCTATAACTGACTCCACAGTGTTGCTCCCCGGATAGAAAGGAGTGGCTTTTGCATTCATGGTTGATAAGGTGGTGGGTGAAGAACTATCTGAGCCGATGCTGGAGGCCAAGCTGGACGTTATGCTGGAGGTGAAGCTTGTTGCCAAAGGGTTCACAGCAGAGAATACAGTATGTTGTGTCTGGAAGGGAGGCACAGGTGGCATGTTTCATTTATATTGTTGATTGCACATCTCTGTCTGAAACCAGAGCCCAGGTGTGGGAGAGAAACTATTGTTTACATGCACAACAACCTTTATATAAAGAAGCATTCTGGCCCTTTTAAAATCTCCCAGCAACTTTCATTGTGTGATGTTTCCATGTCAAAGTGATCCTCGTCACATCAACACGTAGCACTATTAAAATGACTAGGAGCTTTTAATAGTATTTTAAATCAATAATGAAAATCCAAACCTGTTTTTCTTGGTCCATCATTTTCTGATCCATCTGCCCCTTGTTCTTAATCTAAAAGTGAGAACACAAAACAGCAAACATTTTGTGACAAAATGCTCAAATAAATAATATCAAATAATATCACAAACCTTTGATTTGCAATGATTCTTTCAATATTCAAACATATTGCTTTTGATTACACATTCTTTTATAATAACAGTGAAGCAGAGACAAGTGAAATCAACTTAAGGGCAATTCTGAGTGTAGTGTTACAAAGGACAGGTGGTTTGTCCAGCCTGATTGCAAGCTTGCAGTTCCCACATGTTCACTAAATGTGACATTGATTACAAAAAACATGCAACAAGGCTCAACAATGTGTTTTTGTCAAGTCACCCATGTATAAGGTGCTCTCATCAAGTGACAAGATACATTGCATTTTTTTTTAATAAAGAAAAACCGACACATTAGATGATCTAATACCTGTAAATGAAATGTCTCAAAGTGATACAATACAAAATGACATGAATGATACATTTCAAAATGAATGAAAAGAGGAATGAGTGATGCATTAAAGCCCTGAGTTGTGTCTGTGTGTTAGAGTCTTCCTAAAGCTGAAGAGTCTGTATACCTGGTCCTCTCGTTCAAAGCCCGGAGCTTTGGGATAGTTAGACGTCAGAGATGAGACACTGGATGTGGTGGACTCTGAACATATACTACTATCAGTAAAGGGGTTAGGCCTGCTGGTGGAACCCACTGGGGATAACAAACTGTCGCTTCCTGAGCTTGGAGTTACAGTCGAGCTATTAGAACATGAAACCTGAGAAAGAGAAGTGCACATGGTCTTAATGAAAGGATGATCAACGTATGGATAAATAAATAAAACCAATATTCTAAATACATCTATTTTAGAGTGAGAATGTAACAATGAATAGCTTAGAATGATGGTCTTACAATCAAAAGCAATGACGTAACGGAAAACAATAATGACAAATCAATGCATGCCAGCAGAAAGATGAGAGCATGGTAAACAACATATCAACAGCTAAATGGATGAATTGTTATTTAGGGATTTGTGTTCTCTTGAAATACAACACCATGTATGTGTTTATTCTGTTGAATTTCCTTTTGAAGTCGTGACATAGCAACGGGAAAACATACACTTCCTACTTGTCCGTTGCTGCTGGTTGCGCTGCCCCCGCTGTTCCACTCGCTGACGGGACACTCTGAGTACTGAGAGCTGGACTGCATCACTGTCAGCATGCTCTCCTCTGTGGAGGGGATTCCTGACGGGAGTACGATTCAATGAAAACGGCATAAACAACGAGATGCCCAACAGCCACATTCCGACAACATTGCTTGTTGCTAAGGCTGCATGGCAAATGAAAAATGCTAACGTAGCCGAATATCGCAATAACGATTTTCTTTGCTTTTTTGTTGAACTGATATTGAAGTTGACTTTTTTTAGCCTTGTATTGAGAATAATGCTAAAAAGAAAATATGAAACAGTTTGAACATTGAACTGAACATAAAAGGCCCCAATAAAGACTATTTCCTTACTTATTCTCTCTTTCAACTAACTAAGAAAGAGTCTTTTACAATACCTATTAACCTTTACCTATATGTTTAAAATGTTAACAGTGCATATTTGAACATTTGGGGAAATCAAGACAATTATCTGACAGGTGTATATATATATATATATATATATTAACTCGTCTGTTTTCAAGAGTACTGAGACAGTATTTAGATACACTTTGACTTACTTTCTACGTGTGCAAACGCACAAAACGGTCCTCTGGGACAGTATCCCGTTTGTCGCATATCATTGCATTTGGTTGATTTGTAGATCTGAGAGGAAGAAAAACAGACCAATCAAAAAGACAATGAGTTACAAAGTTAAGATTTACGATACTATCAAAGACAATAAAACCTCATAAACACAATATCTTAAACTGCAGGATTACACAGTCAAGAACACTTTCTCACACTACACATTACTTAATTATGGTTGTTGTGGTAACAGTCCATTTCAAGGCTTGAGTATTGTAATTCAAATGTATTATTGTAAAAGGAAAAGCTATGATCATCTTGCAATCTACTTATTTAACTAAATAGTTATCACCGCAATAAACCGTATTTAATTTAGTGTTATTGTACAATATTTGACTTCATATTCTTTTCTTGTAAACATCATATTCTATTTACATGTATATAGACTTCTTCTTATGTTATTATATATGTTGCATTGTTGGAGGAGTCAGAAGAATTGAAGTGGCGTGTCTACACTGTAGCGTATGTGCATATGACAATAAACCCTTTCAATTGATGTATGTTATTTTGAGAAGCATCCCTCACCTCTGGGTGGAACTGCTGTTCGGTGCGGGAGTGGCAGTACTGGCAGCTGTCTGCACTGTCACACTTTGAGGGCTCGCCCCATTCATCCCCATGTTTCACGTTAGGGCAGGGAGTTGACCTGCATCACAGTGAGAACATTTAACACGTTACAATCATACAACTCAATACCGTTTCTTATTCTAAAACTCTGTCACCATAACTTACCTATATTTGAACTTTCTTGGATTTCGTCTCCGATCTCTACTGTTGTGGCAGTGGGGGCAAGCGTAGCCCTGCCTGCATAGTCGGGGGGGCTTTGTACACTGATCGGTTTTATAGTTGGCTAAAACAAAGTTGGTGTCTGCAAAAAGAATTGATGTCATTTTATTTGTATTTTGCAGGAAGTGTGTTACTACCTGTTGCACGAGCTGGTTATCATGACTCACCTTGCCAGCGGGGGTCTTCTGTCAGAGTTTTCTCGATCATAGCTTGGCTGGCTAACACTCCTGGCTGCAGGTCAGGAATACCTTCCCCAGATCCCAGCTGTCCGTTCTGAAGGGCTTCTTGTGCTTGAATCTCTCTGCACATAAAACCAAGGTTAGTTCCGTCCCTATTGCTTCCACAAGTATACAAATATTAGTTGTCGTTTCAAAAGAGTTAAATATAGTATTATGCTAAATTACTGAATCACTGGCGTCTCTTAATGTTTATCATAACTTTATACAAGTGATCATTGCTGAAACTAATTCTTAAAATACTATAGAGAAGAAAAAAACATTTGAGACACTTTATACGGGATCATCCTCAGAGGGTTCGGGCCACTTGAGACCTTTTTAGGAGATCTGAACAAAAGTGAAGGTTTTTTGAGTCAAAATTGTGATTCTCAAACTTTTGGTCGGATCAAAAAGATATTTACATGTGGCCCTTAACCTCTTCCATAACCATCCGGTATAAACAAACAGGGGTGGGTCAATAAGGGATGGGCACAGGATGATAATTGTTTTTATTAAAGGCTTTTAAGGAGAAAAGGTTTTATTACTACTGTTGAATGGGTTTGCTTTTTATGTTTGCTTAGTTTGGCAGCTTTGTATGCATGTCTTTTCTTTGTGAAATGTTGTGTTTGTGGCTGCACCTCTGTGGTACTCTAAAGTTTATCTTCAATATAATAAGTTACAGGTAGATGTACCAGCATTTGTTTTTGTTTCATGGTATCCAGTGTTGGGCAAGTTACTTCCAAAATGTAATATATTACATATTACCTATTACTCTCTTTTGAAAGTAATAAGTGACATTACAATATTACTGTCTCTGAAATGTAATGAGTTACACTACTTTAGTTACTTTTGAGTTACTTTCACCAAAATAACCGCAAAAGAATGGCTAGGTATTTGAAATGCTGAAATGTAGTTTAGTGCAGCTCATTATACATCCAATGAAGGGCGATGTGGTATAGCATAACAACTGTGTAGGCCATTAAGGCTACTCACAACTTGTATTACACGGCTTAGTTGAATACTGGATTCTGATTGTAACTTCTTAACATGTGACACGTTGTTAATACAGCAGTACAGACCACTGTCAAGGACTATAATGAAGGTTGCTAAGGAGGATCAAGAAAGACAAAGGAAAAGAGGTTAAAAGACGGAGCGCTGGACGTCAGATAAATCACCAGAAGAAGGCAGACAGGAAGTAAACAATAACAGGACACGGAATGGGCTCTGTAGTGTTTAGTATATGGCCGTGTACAGGCCCGGTTCCAGGACAACATGACTCAGGGTGCCTCTGAGATTACAGGGGGCACAGCAGTAGCAGGTTTACATGAGCAATAGTGGCCGGCAACAGCAATGACAAATAGCATTGATGGTCCCCATGAACAGATTATGGCCTTTGTTATGTTTTGAAACCAAGCAAGTGAGAACATTTCAAGTGAGTTAAAAGTGCAATCCTGAAATATTTCATATAGTCTAAAGTGGACTATGGCAAAGAAAAGCACAAAAGCTTCAAAGCTGTACTGATAAAACAAATGAGAACATAATGTAAATCAAGGCACATATTATTTAAACCAGCTCATGGTTTGAAATGGAAAACATTGAAAAGCAAAAGTATTATTAAAACCATGTACTAAATCATCACTTTGGTCCCATCATATACTCTGGGAAGAGAATATTTACTGTGCTTGAAAACTGGTATCACGTCATCATGTGAGGTTGACTTTGTGACCTGGAGAACATTTCAGCTGCAACATTAGCTTGTTGATAAGCTTGGGATATGAGATAGTTTTGTAGCCATTCGTGGTGAAGGCATCTGTGCTATTGTATGCATTATGTTTGACCCAACATTTCTACAGGCATGGCAGAATATGGCACTATTTTCACATGAATATTCCCTTGTCTATTTGTATACCACGAGCTGCAAAATGACCGCCTATAACCCCACTGTACAGGCGAGTACTTGTTTAGATATACCTGGGCAGCAGAGGTTGCGCTAGACTTTTTCGCTGCCCGTCAAATCCAGAATTACCCGTCGGCCTTTACACAACTCTGGGGGGGAAGGAAGCATGCTCGTGAACTGTCAACGGGGGGGGGGCAGTTCACATGCGCCGTGTTATGCATGGCTGCTGCACCTCGTGGGAGCGTGCCCAGCGTAAAGCCAAGACTCACAGACATTTCAATGATTTGTACGGCACGGTTAGGTTTGGAAACGGTATAATTTCCTTTTTGGAAGGCATGCATAACACGGCATAACACCGGAGCCTCGCTGCGGGGAAACGTTGGCGCTGTTCCGAGTTTGTTCTAATCTGTCAAAATGACGGACTGCTTTCAGATTTGTCCGTCATTGTTAAAAGAAATCCGTCATAGACGGAAAATATTCGGTTAACGCAACCTCTGCTGGGCAGGCTCTGTTTTGCCGTGGTATCCTGGCACCTGCGGGCCGGCGTAGTTTGGGGAGACGAAGACTGCTGCTCCGGGGGCGAGGGCGGCGAGTCAGGCGGGAGTAAGCTAGTGTCCACAACGGAGGGTAACGTGATGTCCCCATCCGACCTGTTGCTACTGTCTGCAGTAGATGCAGTGTTGCTGGCGTTTAGTGATGGTTGCTTTAACCATTTTCGTATAAATGATTATCCACAGATGTGTGTCACTGCTGTGGAAGCACTTTGGAAATGATGCACGCGCAGCGGAGCAGGTCACGCGCACCTGACACAATTTGTTGTTTGTATTTTTCGCTCCGTTCTCTTTTTTGAATAGAGGGTGCATAACATTCAACTGCCCGAAGATCCCGACGCGAAGCCTGAAGGGTAAACACACCAGGTTTACTAATCTACCCGCACAATTTGTCTGGTGTCGGAATGTCTCTATGTTAGTAGGCTACATTCTTAAAAAACAAAACACCATTTAATTTCGGGTTGAAATGTGTTGTAACTGCGTTACTGGGCATTGTAACGGGTAGTATATTACCCACATTTCATTAGTAATGCGTTACATTACTTCGTTACAGCAAAAAGTAATATATTACTGTAACTCCGTTACTTTTGTAACGCGTTACACCCAACACTGATGGTATCAGATAACCTCACTCAGACTCTTTCAGCAGCACAGAGCTGAATGCAGCTATTTGTCTATTTTATATTCACTGAACCAAGCCCTTCAAACAGTGTTACAGACTCAAATGTGAGTCTGTAAATCCATTAAACCTTTATACTACGGACACTCTGTTGACATTACATCCAAGTTGGCTGATTTGTCTGTTCCTTTGCGAGTTCAAAGTTTGGCAGGGAATAGAGAGGCCACTATTTGCTTTATATGTCACCTGATATCATAGACTGGAGGTCGGAGATCATGTGGCCCGTGAGCGAAAGCACAGTGGAGGCCATTCTTCACACAATGCCCTCGAGCGTCTGTCTCATGGATGCAAGTGCCGGTCTTGTAATAGCGTAGATGGTACTTTCGCTCTGTGTCGCCCGTGGTCCGGTGCAAGTAAGGACAGCTAAGGAAGCAAGGAAACAACATTTTAATATTTCAGCGGATGAAAAAAGAACACTGAACAATGCTCCTATAAGTACTAGATTCTTCTAGTATAGTTTATGCTGCAGCGTTACTAAGTACTAGATTCTTCTAGTACTTATAGCATCTTTCATGTGAAAACACAATAGCTAAGCACTGCACAGACATTTAAAATATGGTCCAATCAAAATAGAGTTATTATTATATTGTAATTAGAAATAGGGTTCTCTTATGGCTGCACACATTTTTAAACAGATTCCACTGCATTTGCAGGGCTGACACAATAGCAACGCCTCAAGAAATGTATGGCCAATAAGCCTCTTGAATAAACCATTTTTTTCCTTTCTTGAGTAGCAACAGTTGCTATGGCAACACAAAAGGTTATACAAAAATAGCTGCCATTGGCAGAGGAGGAACTGTAAGGATGGCAGACGTTCATTTTCCATTAGTCCAATAATCATAGTTCTTTTTGTTTTTTATGTTGGGCTCTATTATATGCTGTGCCATTTGTAATTCCTGGGCACACAGAGAGAACTGCAGCCTCCTTAGGAGAGATACCATATTGTTTCAGTTACCTTCATATTTATTATACTTCTAATAATGAAGCACTTTTATACTAATAAAGGACTGGATTATCTAAAGCCAGTTGAGTAGCACTTGAAATGTTTGGCTCTATGAAACCTGATATACTTATATGATTCTGTTTTCTTCAAGGTTGTGTCTTCCTGGTCGAATGTACTTATTGTAAGTCGCTTTGGATAAAAGCGTCAGCTAAATGCAATGTAATGTAATGTAATGTAATGCTTGAACTCTTTTATAGTGAATTGAATGCCTGTCACTCTGATGCAAATGATGCCCTGTGCAGAACAATGGAGACTATGCCGTCACAAATAAGAAACAAGGAAACTAAATTGGTGTCTTATTGTAGGGGAGAACATTTCCGTGCATCAAATCACAATAGAAGAAAAAAATACTGATATTGTGATACTGATCACAAAGCAACAACCAAATATGGCTAAACAGCATATCTAGCACTCCTCACTTTAGTAAATAATACACCCATTTTTATATCTCATCTTTCGAGCACTCTTTTCCGGGCAGGAATCTATGATTATAACCGATACAGTCCTCTTGGCTGGAGCTGATCTGCACATATGTCATTCAAACACACAGAGCTTGTTTATGCTGCAGCGTTACTAAAGCGACAGCAAGCTGATATAATTAACATGTTTTTTAATCTATCATTTTCAATCCAAATTCACAAACACATGCTCCTAGTCCCCTGCAAACATCTCCGCAGAACAGTTAGCTTCATTGTAGAACTGCAAAGAAGAGTTTAAAAGTATTTTTTTGGTAAATTGTCATTGCAATGTCAACCTGTGTTATTAACATGTCAGGAAAGACTAACTGTTACACTTGAATATAGTGTACACTACATTCTGTCTGTAGGCGCTACTTTCAAGCAATCTGCAGTATTTAGGGCGTATGCTGAGAGCAGCAAAAGGGCAGAACTTAGTGCACTTTATCATCTGTTTTTATAGCAAGAAGAAAATCAAAAAAATAAATGTTTTGATAATTTATTTACCAGTTATTTTAATTCAAAACATCAGAATTTCAAGAAAAAGCAGCTTCTCAAATATGGAGATTTCCCATTTCTTTGTTTTAAATAATTGTAAACTGAATATAGTTGTCATTTAAAGATATCACTTTGGACTATGACTAAACTGGAGAGAACAGATGTTGCTACTATTTCATAGACAAAACAATTGATAGGGAAAATAGTAAGCAGATTAACCAGTAATGATAATAATAAGATTATTATTTGCAGACCTAATGGCTTCGTTTTGCATCCCTATTAAATTAATAACATTTCCCCTGATCGTTATACAATAACACAACAAAAAGTCATAAAGTTTACCTACGTTTTTTTTCAAACTCACTATATAAAACAAATAAGTAAACAATATATATATATATATATATATATTCATCAACACAGTTCTTCCCAATTAAGACACATCACGACCCAAACCTATTTAAGGAACACTTGAATGTTTGTATACTTTATGACATTTCCTGTGCTTTGAATGTTTTAGTGGCATCAGTTTGATAACATATGTTCCCCTGAAGCTACAGAGGTTCTCATCCCAAACATGGCAGCAAAACATCAGTCAGCAGCTGCATCACAACGCACTGAAGCTTTCATGAAAAGACTGAAACGTACTCATCTCCATCCGGGCAGATGCCTGTGGTCTCGTCGTATTTGGTGCAGTACACGTCAGGGCTGTAGTTAAAAGTTCCGTCTCTTCTTCTGATAGGTCTTCTTCTCCGCTGGTTGAGAAAATGCCAGTGAAAACACGTAAAGGGTCTGTGCTGCGTACACTTGTGCTGAAGGAACAACGGACACTGCTCTGTCCTGAACTCCTTCAAGTATCTGAAACAAGGAAAAACAAAATAAACAGTCTGAGGAACCGCGTTCTGAAATGAACACTCATTATGAAATAAGTCAAAAGCTGGAAAAAAGTGTAAAGACAGTGTTGTGTCGTGGTATGCAGCTAGTGTTGTAGCCTACTATATATTTTGGGTCACTAACGTAAGCTTGCTATTCAGAGAGTAAACTACGTTATTGTTTGGACGTAACGCTTGTTGAATGTCCATGAGCGTACGTCTATAAATGTGCGTAGCAAGGGGGAACTCAAAATAAGGCCGAGCTATTTACAAGCAGACTGGTTAGCGAGTTCCTGGCTAATCATTTAGCAGACCAAGTTGACGGTTTAACATTCAAAAGATTATTCAAAACAGTTCCCCAACTCGGTAAAACAGTTATAAACGATTCCGTTAACGCATGGCTTGACACTTAAGCGATTTAAGACGTCCGTGTTTCCTACATTAGGGCTGGTGTCGTTAGCGTGCAGTCGCTGTTTGCTATGTGACGTTAGGTAGTCACAAAGCCTGGAAAAGCACCATGTTTTCAACGCACACATAAGAGTTGAGGAATGCAAGAAATGCAAACGCGCATATGTGCACGTGCAAAAAACATTTTCTTCAACGAGCCATGTTGTTGTTTATTTGCAGTAGCTTTACTCACGTATAGTGGCTAGGTTTCTCGGTTTGAGGAGACGCATTGGCCGCCGTTTTCGAAACCGACGGCATTTTCAGTCAAAACAATGAATTGCGCATGCGCTCGGATCTGTTGCTCGCGTCCATGCATGCACGTCCGCATACACTGCATCAGAGCAGCAGGGGGCGCTGCAAACAACACCGTGTTTATGTCCTCTGGCTTGTTGGAGCTGATTACTTTATCAATACACATTCTGCCTGAATGGACTGTTATATTTAATTATAGTACAATTAAGGAATATAATAATACCCCCATTTATTTCAAACACTTTAATTACTGTTAGACTGTATAAACTTCAATACATGTCTGTATGGTCTTCAGGCTATCAGGCTTAATCTGTCATTTCCTCTTCCTCAAATTATTGTCTTTTTATTGCATACTTTAGAAAACTCATCTCAGCTCTATTTAAGGTGAAAGTTTCCGTGTGTGTGTGTGTGTGTGTGTGTGTGTGTGTGTGGGGGGGGGGGAAAGGTTTTCAGGTTTTCTCTTTTAGAGGCTTCTCTATGTAGCTCATTACACTGTTATTATATTTATCTTTTCTTTGTGTGTTTCATTTGTTTTTATGTCAGTGATTATGCTTAGTTTAAATATAACAGATTTTTAAAGAGTAAAATCATTTCACATTATTTAATAATGCATGTGTTTATAATACAAGTCTTTAAGTATTTTTAAATAGGTGATCTATTTTTGGAAAGTATGTAATAGGAGTGTTTTTTAAACGGAAATGCAGGTTTGGCAGACAATGCACAGTAGATACTTCAATCAGCTGCCTCCAAATACAAGTTTCCAAATGTCTGTTTTAAGAATTTGGTTGCTTTTATATAAATATTTGATGGGTTCTGCCTGAAGCCTTTAAAAACCAACCCTATTTCTTCCCCTCTGTATCTGGGAAGCTAATTATTCTATTCAGATCTTTTTTCCTGCAAGGGATTTTAATTTACAAATGCAATTATACATTTGATCCATTATTCAGCTGCTGAGGTCCTCCGGGTGCACGGCCTTATGATTATGCATAAACCCTGGACTGTCCTGTTGTAATTACTTTGACATGCCCCACCCCCACTCAGCTTACAGTTGGATGTCCAGTAACTTTCTTAGGCAGGACACATTTAGTCTAATCACTTTAAGTAGAATTATATTACATTTGGTTTGTTTTGGTGTGCACAATTAGATGCCAGCTCATTAGATACAATTCTACAATATCATTTTTGATGCGATGCAAAAGCTCTGCTATGAATTGTTACATTTTTCGGAACATGTTTTCTATCTTCATTAACATGAATTAAAGTGACAAAATATAGAACAACAACAATCTGCCTTTATCCATACCTCTCTGAACAAAAACTGACTTGTGTTTTCCCCCCCTCACTTTATGCATTATCCCATTGTTTTGCACCTAGTAAAGTGGCCACTGTGTATATTTGCATCTACACAAAGTATATTTGTGCTTGGTTGAAGCAACAGCAGCTGGTGTACAATGAGCATACATGTACCCATAAGCCTGCAAAACTACTCTATTTTAGTTTTACCAACAACCTTTTCATCCAAGTCAGGAAAAAAGCTTGAGGCTTTGGTATCATCATCATTTTACTGCTTATCTGCCCAATATTTTTGCATGAATTACGAAATGATTTAACATTATTTTCTTTAACCAGATAGATGTGTATCCTGCATCATCCAGAGGAAGTAATGTGAGCGAGGGGAAAAGTCACACCCTCTCTACTCTCTGTGACGTCAGCCACCACAAACCTTTGACCTCACTCAGAGCTCTCAGCTGTACACACAGTCCACTGTCAACCTCTTCTCACAGCATCTCCAGTGTGTGTGTATGTGTGACGTAAAGATGATCCTTTGTCTCTTACACCTTGTCGGACTTGGATGGCCTCTAGGTGTTGCTTCTTTATCTCAGAGAACATGACAGCTCTCATTGGATTACTGCTTCCCTGTCTTCCTGTTTTGTGTACCGTCTGGGGCCCTGATAGAGACGCGTGCTGTATTCAGACTGCACTAAATCCAAATTTAAAAAAGACATATTGTCTTTGTCAAGGTTTAAAAACTGTGAAAACATGCTGAATGCTGCATGTTAAGGCTATGGGACACAGAATCTTTAGCATCATGTACCACAAGTTTGCCTCTCATAAACAATCACTTAAACAATCCTCAGCGCTGCTTTCCCAGGCTGCAGGAACTGTTACAGCTGGAATAACAGTTTGTGGTTTGGACTCCTATTTTTCCAAGTCACGCCATTATCTCTATCTGCTTCATGCACAAACACAAACGCAGGCCTACCGCAGACTGGCTATACACCTTGTATATGTTGATGCACAATGCTCAATCTGAGCGTGATACAGTCCTGTGGACTCTTTTATGGTTGTGACATAATACATCCACCTGTTGAGGTCAATGCACATAAACCACAGGCTGTGTCGGTTTTCTAAGAATATAACAAATAGATAATATTCTGTTAACCCTGTTATGATTCAAGAAATGCACATGCATCTGAGTGCAAGTTGACATAAGAAAGCACTGTAATATAGTAGAAAACAGGAATTTATAATGTTCAATAAACAATTTGAGGTTGTTAAACTTTATAGCAGGTTTCATTAAAGCCTCTGATGCGAGACCATTTCAAATGTTTAAGCTGCACCTGTGTAGCCGGGTAATCTGCATTACATTAACCTCTGATCAATGTGAGTATCTGTGTTCTGTCAAAAGCATTTCATCAAACTGTACATGAGGATGGGAGAATCCACCCTTTGGTATTTGAACATGTCTCATGTTAGATTTGAGTTTTTCTGTTCATTTGATAAAAACAATTAGTGGAATCCGTTTACAGATAGGAGAACAAGCCACACATGTGAAGATGAAGTATTTTTCGAGGTGGCTTTTTCTGTCACATGCCCATGTCTGGTTGGCTATTGCAGTTTATCAGTGTTATATGCTTTAAATAAGAACTACAAATGGAAGCAGCTTCACGTTGTCAACAGTGAAGGATGTGTTTACACATGATGATCCCCTGCTGGCAAGGCAACACCTGCTTCTTTTCTTTATCATCATGCTAACAGGAGCTGACAAGTGTGGTAATATCTTATTCCATAATATATATGAGCTCAGACATCAGATTCTGGACAGATTCAAAGACGGGCTGTGACCAAAATGCTAAAAATAACACATACAAAAATAAAGGGTGTAGCTACGATACCCTTTATTTAATGTGTGTAATACTCGAAGACATACACAAAGACTTCTCTTTTATATTCCTGGAAAAGTGGGATATTTTCTTTATTTCTAAAAAATAAAACACATTTTTGTGCATTTTCCATCGCATGTTTAGCTTTACAAAAGGACATTTCCGCTCAACAGAAGAGAAACAGACAGGGGTACACTTATATTTACAGTGAAAAGAAAGTCACTGCTACTCGTTGCCTCTTTGGTTTTTTTTCTACCTGTAATGCCATGTTGTCAATGATGGTGTTGATGGTGTGTATTACATTATATATTATTTTCATTTTCAATTCATCTGCTGATTATTTGGAAACATGTCCATCCCTATATCGCTCTAATTTCAAGGTGATGTATGTAAATATTTAGTTTGGTCAGTCCAAAATCTAAATATATTCCCTTTTTATATCAAATGAAACACATTTGAGAGGCTAAAAACATAATCTTTGCATGCAAACCAACTTTAACCATTAACCAATTATCAAAGACGAAAATAAGTCGACTAATGGTTGCAGCCCTAGTAGGTTATACATCATTATACAGGTGTTTCCATGTGGGGTTTAACTGAAGAGCCAGACAATGTTATTTTGCATGACAGATCGCTTATTATTGTCCGTCTTACACAAAAGCTGTTGTCCTCTGACACTCATCTATCCATCGCCTTAAAGGACACAAGCTGACATTTTGCTCCTTGCCATCAAACACACTTTTTGAAGAAAAAAACACACACCGAAAACAATAAGTGAATAATGAAACATGTATGAAACCATGAACATAGCTTCAAGTACCTTATGTGCATTGTAATCTACTTAAAAGGATGCACAACATGAGTCATTCCCATTCTTACTTGAGTGTATATTTTTGTGTTTTTGTTCAGAAAGTGAGCAGGTTAACTGAGAGGCATACCAGATGAAGAAAGCTGAGGTTATTATTCACACTGGGTGAAATGTTTGAGTTTTTAGCACACCTTGTGAGTTTCTTGTCCCTCTTCCTATCAGTCACACCTCTGACACCACGCTCCTGACAGGGAGGTGTAGATCGAGGGTGTGGTGGCAGAAGCGGTTCACCACTGACCAGCTGGCCTTCTGCTTAACGAAGAGCCGCAGCTTGTCCCTGAACGTCTCTCCTAGAAAGCTGTAGATAATGGGGTTGAGGCAGCTGTTGGAGAAAGCTGCCAGGTTAACAATGTGTCCTGTGAGCGGGTAGTCGTGCCACAGGGTGGTAGCTGTCCTCTGGGCGGGGTCCGCCGTGCCCTGCAGGAGCTGGATGCTGATGAAGACGTTCTCCGGCAGCCAGCAGATGAAGAACACCAGAACCACCACCACGATCATGCGCAGGGCCTTCTGCCGCCTGGGCCACAGTCCTCGGTGCTTCTGCGCCCTCATGAGGATTCGCCCGATCAGAGAGTAGCAGAGACCAATGATGGTGAAGGGCACCAGAAAGCCAATGGTGACCTCCAGCCACTGGATCTCCAAGACGTTGGCGAAGCAGAAGTGCACCTCGCCCCTGTGCTGCGTCTGCACGATGGTGAAGGGCAGCAGCGTGGCCAAGATGGACGCCATCCAGATGAGGCCGCAGCTGAGCTTGGCGTGCTGCATAGTTCTCAGAGGGCTGCTGCTTATGGAGCTAGCTATGGCAATGTATCGGTCAACGCTCATCCATGTGAGGAAGAAGATGCTGCTGTACATGTTGACCTGCAGGAACAGCGACATGAAGGTGCAGAGGACGGCGTAGTCGTAGTATTTCTCGTTCAGATTGAAGACCTCGATGAGGGAATCAGCCACCAGGATGAGGTCGGCTGCAGCCAGGTTGACAAAGTAAAGGTCGGGGATGGTCATCTTCTCTCTGTGGTTCAGGTTCACCACCAGGATTAAGATGTT